GCCTGTGAGATTCAGGGGTGCATTCTCCTTGATCACCTGAACTAGATGCTCTTGGGATGCCCTTTATGCCATTTATTTTGGTTCTCTGGATGTTATTGGGTGTTGATTGTTGTTGAGTCATTCTTTGGTAGGTCTTTCCCTCTACCTGGTTGACTGAGAGTCACTCCACCCACCACATCTTGTGTGCTCTTGTGCAGGTGCTGCCAGAACAAAACCACAAAGCCCAGGAAGCACACCCAGACCCGCAAAAATATAAGCCCCCACAATCCCACTATCAACAGCAAATGAACCAGTATCAATAAGGGTGTAAAGAGATTAAAACTATTTTAAGAAATGAGAGCAGATATGAGATTACCTACTGAAAGAAAAATGATTTTGAGAGTGTAGAGGGAGGAGCACTAATAAGGGTTGGGAGATGGAGCAATGTGAAGAAAGAAAGTGAAATTTACATCATGAATAAAAAAGGGAATGAAGAATATGGAATGGAGTATGAGAAGGGAAGAGTATAGTATTAGGTTTAAACAGAAATTGTTCCACCAGTAGATATAATATCTACCCTCCTTTAAAGTAGAAGGTCATCAGTTTGATTTTCTCTCTCTCAAAGTTCTGTAACAAATGTTTTTCTATGTTGGCTGTGTCTACATTCTTCTGCTCCATTCTTTGGTTTTAATCAAGATGGAGGTGTAGGTAAACACAACTTGCCTCCTCATACAACCACAGCAAAAATTACAATTAAATTAAAAAACAGCTGTCACCCAGAATCATCAGAAAATTGAGCTGTATGGAAGTCTGACAACCAAGGAATTAAAGAAGTCGCATTCATCCAGATTGGTAGGAGGGGAGGAGACATGGAGATACAGAGGTGCAGAGCAGGCAGTCTCAAAATGTGTGGTGGATGAAAATCAGGAGGGATACCTCAGGAATGAGGGATCCCAGCCCCACACCAGACCACCCAGCCTAGGGTTCTAGTACTAGGAAGGGAAGTCCCCATAACTTCTGGCTATAAAAACCAGTAGGGGTCAGGGCAGTGGAAGAAACTGTGGGATTCTCAGAGGTCTCTTCTTAAAAGGCCTGCAACAGTCTTAGGATATATGCAGACTCAATCCCCCTGGACTCCAGTACCAGAACAGCAGCTTGAAGGGCAGCATGGCATACGGGGAGGAACTGAAGTGTCTGGCATCAGGGTGAGTGCCAGAGGACAGCTTTTTCCTGGAAAAAACTCCAGAAGCAGGCAGTGGCCATTGTCTGTTTTCTGAGCCCTCCCCCACACAGAGCCACAGAGTGCCAACACCATATCTGAGACTCCATCAACCTGTTTTACATGGGTTGCCCTGCCCTGGTGATTACCTAAGGCTTTCCCCCATACAACTTATGGGTGCACGTTTGTACAATAAGCCATGCTACTAACACAGGGTACAAAGCAGCTCTACCTAACACAGGGAGGCTGCCAAAATGAGAAGACAAAGAAATATGGCCCAAATGAAAATACAGAAGAAAACTCCAGAAAAAGAACTAAACAAAATGGAGATGTGCAGTCTATTAGATGCAGAGTTCAAAACACTGGTTATCAGGATGCTCAAGGAACTCATTGGGTACTCCAACAGCATAAAAAAGACCCAGGCAGAAATGAAGTTTACACTAAGTGAAATAAAGGAAAGTTTACAGGGAATCAATAGTGTAGTGGATGAAGATGAGAATCAAATGAATGATTTGGAATGTAAGGAAGAAAAAACATTCAATCAGAACAACAAGAAGAAAAATAATCCCCCCAAATGAGGATAGGCTAAGGAGCCTCTGGGACAATGTTTAATATACCATCATTCAAATCATAAGGGTGCCAGTAGGAAAGAGCAAGAAATTGCAAACTTATTTGAAAAACAATATAAGAAAACCTCCCTAATTTGGTGAAGGAAATAGACATATACATTCAGAAAGCACAGAGAGTCCCAAATAAGACAGATGCAAAGAGGACCACACAAAGACACATCATGATTAAAATACCAAAGGTTAAAGGTAAAGAGAGAATCTTTTTTAAAGAGAGAGAATCTTAAAAGTAATAAGGTGATATCTACCTCATAAGGTTGTTAGGTGCATTAAATGAGATAGCAAGTAGCACAGTGTTTGGTCTGTAATAAGTGCATGAAAGTTGCTATATTATCTTCTCTTACCTGTCTGTCCACCTTCCTCTTCAGGTTTCATCCTAGTCTGATATTCTTTTTCACACCTATCCAACATACTCCCTCCCAGCAAGACTAATGTTTTCACTGTCTCCATATTCATTGCCCCATGTCTTGCTTTCTCTACCCAAACCCCATCACTTCTCAAAGGCCTATATCTTCTGAGAGAAAGCTTTGTCCTTAGCTTGAAGCCAGAGTTGCTCTCTCATTGCAGTGACCCCACTGCACTTCTGGAACCTGGTTAAATTCTATTGTTCAATTTATTGTAAATGGTGTTATTACTTTATTATGTTTTTATTGTTTTTTTTTTAAATCATGTTGTACAGGAGTGGGCAAAAGTAGGCTTACAGTTTTGAGCATATGAAACACAGTTTATTCATATATTATTTATTTATTATTGTTTACAACTGTTGCTTACCATTGTTTTTATTTAAAAATATTTTAGTAGTTGCCCTGAACAATGTGGCTCAGTGGGTTGGGAATTGTCCTGCAAAGTGGAAGGTTATCAGTTTGATTTATGGTCAGGGCACAGGCCTGGGTTGTGGGCCTGGTCCCCTCAGACATCAATGTTTCTCTCCCTCTCTTTCTCCCTGCCTTCCCCTCTCTCTAAAAATAAATAAATAAAATATTTTAAAATATTTTAGTAAATTTAGATTTTTTTTCAACATGTGAGCTCTTTGAGCAAAGGAATCATGCTATAAATTCTATATATTTTTCACAGGACCTAGTGTTCACAGTACTTGTTAAATTTAATTGACTTGAATTGAGACATAAGATAGGCCCCAGTGGTCTTCAAAATATGATGCACAATTCTATGCAGTATACACACAATACATTCAAGTGCAGGAAGAAAATATTGTAAAACTTCCATGTATACTTATTTTATCATATCCTTTGACATTTCTTTTGTTGTGTATGTTTATAATATCATAAATTTATTATTACATGTATATATAATTGGTACAAAAATAAATGCATATTCAAGAAATTTTAATATTGCAGTTCCAAATCAAAACATTTTTTTAGCCCTGGCTGGTGTGTCTCAGTGGATTGAGTGCCAGCTTGCAAACCAAAGAGTCACTGGTTTGATTCCTAGTCAGGGCACATGCCTGGGTCCAGGTACCCAGTAGGGAGTGTGTGAGAGGCAACCACACATTGATGTTTCTCTCCCTCTCTCACTCTCTTCCCCTATGTCTAAAAATAAATAAATAGAAATTTTAAAAAAAGAACTTTGAAAAAAACTCATTTTTAAAAAATCCTCTTCCAAGGACATTTTTTTTTCATTGCTTTTAAAAAGAGAGGAAGGGAAAGCACAAAACACTGAAGTGAGAGAGAAACATTGATTGGTTGCCTCCTTTACATGCTTGAACCTAGGATCAAACCCGTATCCTAGATATGTGCCCTGACCGAGAATTGAACCAACAACTTTTTGGTTATGGAATGATGCTCCAACACAGCCACACTGTCCAAGGTGAAACATTTTTTATTAATAGTATTTATATGAATGATAGAAATTTGACCAAGTCTAAAATAGCAAGTCCATGGTGGGCACACAATGTGATATACAGCTCCTGTAGTATAGAAATCCACATTTGAAACCTATATAATCTGATTAATCAATGTCACCCCGATAAATTGAATAATAAATAAATAAAGGAAAAAACAGCATACCTTTATTTCCAACAGTTAATTATTTTTATTACTTACTGTTTGCCAGGTGCTATGCACAGTCTCTTACATGCTTTATAAAGCATGCATTATTATCTTACTGAGGAAGACATTGAAACACAGAGAGGTTAAGTAACTAGTCCAAGGCTACATAATGAGTAAGTGATGAGCCAGGATTTAAAACTACATCTGTTTTAAGCCCTGGCTGGCATAGCTCAGGGGATTGAGCGCGGGCTGTGAACCAAAAGTGTCACAGGTTCAATTCCCAGTCAGGGTACATGCCTGGGTTGCAGGCCATGAACCCCAGCAACTGCACATTGATGTTTCTCTCTCTCTCTCTATCTCCCTCCCTTCCCTCTCTAAAAATAAATAAATAAAATCTTAAAAAAAAACTACATCTATTTTAATCCAAAGGTGGTCTTATTTTTCAAAGAATTTTTTTGGCTTAATCTTTACTGTATTTTTTCCCATTACCATTTAGTCCCCTTATACTTCCTTCCCCTCAGCAATCACCTACCACACTGTTGTGCATTTCCATGAGTCCTTTTTCCTTTTTGCTTAATCTCTACACCCCTAACCTCCCCTTCCTCCACTAGTTATCATCTCTCCATCTATGAGTCTGTCTCTGTTTTGCTTCTTAGTTCAGTTTGTTCATTAGATTCTACATACAAATGAAATCATATTAACTATACAATTTGATTTCTTTAATAGATCTAATAGGACTATTCAAGTTATCTATTTCTTCTTAAGTTTTGATAATTTGTGTCTTTCAAGAAATTAGTACATTTCCCAAAGCTAATCCTCTCAATTAGGCACTACTGTAGCATGTGAACCTCTTTCAGGAATATGTGTGTATGTATGTATATACATACGTATACACACACACCCCCACCCACCCCCCCACACATATATGGAGAGACTGTAAAGTAGACTTGTTACTTAACCAGGGCATTATGAAAACCATATAGAGATTTTAGAAAGTAGAAAATCATTGTAAGACAAAACAAGTAGTTAAGTGATTTGATTATATTTGATATTTATCTTTTAAAAATATAAGACAAAATTGGAGAAAACATTATACAGCTGTTTCTTGAAGAATTGTCTCTTATGTTTTAAAGTTGAGTCCAAAGTAACACAGGATTTCTATTTTTGCAGCTGTTTCTGAAAATGTAACAATTCAAGAAACAAGTACAATTCTTTCACAACAAATAGATTCGACAACCCCATCCCAAGTTACTGGATTAAAACCACAGAAGACTATATATTCTTCTACAATGATGCCTAAAAGCATGCCTGTATTTGAAACTAATTATACAACCATATCATATTCCAGTACAACACCTCCACCTCTGGAAACAATGACTGCACCAAAATTTTTAAAGACATCCACAGCTGAGACAGCTACATTTGCAGCAGACATTTTGTCTACTTCAGCAGCCATTGTTCTACCTACCAAGAATACCTTCATAGGCACTACCACCAATGCCATGAAAACAACTGAATCCCCATCTTCAGAGAGCACAATGACAACCAAAAAGGCTGAAGTCATTGTTACTGAGACCTTTCATCCAACTACAGCTACTAATTTTCTATATACATCTGGATTTACCAAGAATTCAATTGTATCTAAAACTTCAGTGATTGGATCTCAGGCAGCTATTATGAAGACAACGCCTTTATTCTCATCTATAGAGTCAGCATCCATGTCTACAACATCTTGGCCCAAACACAGATCCACAGGCATCAGAGTACTCCCTAGCTCCACAGCTCGCCAGGAGTTTCTTGCATCTACAGTTGATACAACTGTACCTTGGTCCACGGTGAGACAGACTTCTACTCACATTGGGACTGTATCAGCATCCCCGCCTGAGTCTGTGCTCATATCCACAGCTGCTCCAGTGGATACTATATTTCCTAGAGATCAGACAGCATCTACATCGGCAACAACTGATAAGAAACTATCACTTACAGTTCATTCAATGACGTTCCCAACTAAGCCTATTGAGATGACTCCTGAGCAAAGAACAGCTGAAACAGAATTAACATCTATAAATTTCCAGGATATCTCTTCACCCAGAGTGGAGAAATCAATGTTTATCTCCATGCCAAAAGAGGCACCTTCTACATTCCTCTCATTCAAGACACCCTCTTCATTCACCAGAACTCAGAGTATACAGACAGTTATTGATGCTGAGACAACCTATAGAGCCTTGACTTCTGGAATCACACTTGCACCTACATCAGCTGAAAATATGCTTCCTCCTACAGTCTCTGGGCAAGTATATACCCAGAATACACCCACAGGTGGTGAAAACATGTTTTCTTTCATTTCTGCCAGACCAGCTTCCACATCCAAAGCATCTGAATCTGACCCCACATCAATAAGTGATGAAGGTGCCCATCTATTCACCAGTGAGGTCACTTGGACTCCCAGAGAAGATCAGACCCTATTGACATCAGCATTCCATGGCAATACTCCTAACATAGAACATTCATCCACAATTACTGATAGTATTGTCCAACCAGAAGCATCCACAGAAAGTGAGGCTAGCACTACCACTGATAGCATTACTACTACTGATGCCATTATTGACAGATATACAACATCTCTATCCAATTTGACATCTCTGTGGTTGGCTAATTTCTCCATAGTTTCTGGAACCACATCTGTAGCCAAACTGCCTGAGTTTAAACTTTCTACCTTACTACTAAGAACAACCCCTGTGTCCACAGTAGTTGGAAATGAACTTCTTTCAACACCAAGGGAGACAGTTGTTCCACCAGTAGATATAATATCTGCCCTCCCTGATGCTGAGCCACATTTTTCTACTGAAGAGAGTGCTTCTGAGGCCACACAAATGAAGATAAAAAGTACACTTGCATTTGGAAAGACAACAATCCCTGTTCCAGAGTCTGGAACAACACAAAGATTCAATGCTACTGTGACAAGGAAAGAAACAACTTCCCATTATCTTAAGGGAAGATCAACTATAGCAGCAACAACTGAGGTTTCTCCATTTTCAACAATGGTAGAAACAACAAATCAGTCTGTGCAAGTGGTGACTGCTTCTGTCACCATTTCCCCTTTTCCTGATTTAGAAACATTGATTACCCCATTGGATAATAAAATGGAAACTACTGAGGTGAGAGTAAGTTGGCTTTCTCCAAAATCAGTGAAAACCACACCTAAGACTTTATACAATGGAACTACAGAAATTTTTAATTCCACCCACATATACACAACACACTGGAGTTCAGAGACTCCACATAAGAGGAATCCAACTCCATCCCCCAATTCTGGGAGCACAAAGACATTCCCTCAGCCCCTGGTTTCTTCTACCACAAGGATACTGGAGAGCAGTTTTACTACTATCCCTACAGACAGGACAGCTATATCCTCATCTACTGGTATCTTGCCTCCACAGCCTACAACTACTCACTCCTCAGCATTTCCTGGGCCTATTACCCATATGTCCTCATTGCCAGTTAATGTCTCTGGTGTCACCTCTGTGGTAGTGTCTGAGGAGACCATGTCTGAACCTTCTGCGCTAAGGACAGCTTCCTCCACTTCTGCACTCTCAGATGTCCCAACTCTGTCATCAGCTACAGTGACCACAGCATTGCTGCCACCATTGGATCAGACTGCTTCCACAACAAGCAATATCATATCTACCCACAGAGACTTTACTCACACCACTTTAGAAGCCACAGTGAACTCTGTCAAGATGACACCCACAGCATTTTCCTTTCTGACAGAAACTCCAGTCTCCTCACTGAGACCTACTGCTCTTGCGGCAACTAAGGCTAAGACTACCTATTTCTTCACCTCAGCTGACACAGTAACTTCATTCACACCCACTCCTGATTTTTCTCAATCTCTCCCTGACAATATTTCTGTTGTGTCCTCTACTCATATGATCTCAACTATGTCTACACCAGTAGCAACCCAGCCCATATCTCAAGTGGAGGAGACTTCTCCCCATGTACCCAGCTTTCCACATACTTCCAGTGGTAATGGACAGGTTGTTAGCTTGGTTACTGGCACCACAGAAACTTCTGTTATTGATGAGATCATGCCCTCACACACCTCTGCCAACAAGCTTACTGCTTCAGATGGTCACATTTCTCAATTTTCCACACATCTTACAAGCACACTGGTCCCCACCCTATCAGTGACTGACATTGCTACCTTGTCTTTTGACAAAGAGCAGATGACCACTTCTCTAGGAAACACCTCTGGAACTATGGGGGTGACAGAAATGCCTCCATCAAAGAATCCTTTTATTTCACAGTCCCAGACTACTTCATCCTTGGAAATGACAGAATCAGAATTTGCTGAGACCACAAAAATTTCCAGTCATCACACACATTCACCTTCAGAGATTCCACTTCTGACTCCACCTGATGGGATTTCAGCTTTATCTCCCACTTCTGGGAGTACACAGATGACACCTACCACCTGGACCTCACGTAACACACATGTTCGCATTTCAGAAATGTCTACCAGTCTTGGGAAAACAGCTCTCCCTTCACATCCTCTGACAATTACCACATTTTTGTCTCCTGAAAAAGAAAGCAGTAGTGTCCCTTCAGTGTATATTCCCAGGACTGAGAATATCACAGTAAGCACCACCTCTGTTACTCACCCTTCCTCATACCACCAGAATACTTCATTTGTAGATACTATAACTTCCAGAACAACCAGAATATCATATCCTATAAAGGTAAACACAACCCTTTCACATTTGCTTTCATTCAGGACTAAACCTGAGGTGATTTCAGTTGCTTCTCCCACTTCTGAAAGCACACAGACCTCCCCTGAGTCCCTGTCTCTTTCCACAAGTGGACTATCTAGTGCCAATTTTACAATGATCTCTACTGACAGGATCACTACAGCCCTTTCTGCTCCAAAGGTAACTATGGCACTTCTTGGTAAAACCTCTATGGCAACATCCATTCCTATCTACCACATGTCCTCAATGCCAGTTAGTGTCACTGCCTTCACCTCCAAAAGAGTTTCTGACACTTTAACAATACTAGTGACCAAGTCTTCTAAAACATCACACCCAGATTGTTTGAAAAGGCCCTCTATAGCCACTTCTGGTCCTGTGTTTGAGATATCTTCAATGTCAGTTCATGACTCTGATTTCTCACCTCCAGCTGTTTCTTCTGACACTTTCACAACAGTTGGATCATTTTCTACTTTATTGTCTTCAGTTAACCCTAGGACTACTATGACGGTACAAACATCTACACTGGATATCACACCTTTGACATATACTGGACCTACTTCAAAAACCACAATGGTTTCCTCTACTACTTCAGAAATGGCAGAGATGTCCTCCAGGATCATAACTACGTCCTTCCCCTCTCCAACAGAGCCAACTTATTCTTCTGTAAAAATCATCCCAACCGCTCTTATGGATGGGGTGGTGACTCCATTTGTAGGCACCACTACCTCCTTTCTACTTGGTTCTAAGAACACTGAAGTTATTTCTTCCATTCCAAAAACCACATTTTCACCATTTCTATCAACAAAACCACAGTTATCCCAAGGATATGAGGCTACAACTCTGGGCATATCATCTGGGCTTATTAACAACTCCCTATCTACTGTAAGCAGTGGTAGAGCAACGAGTCTCACAAATACTTATTCCAGAACTGCTGCTCCTAAAAGTGTGATTTCATCTACTCCTTCAGAGAATCTTCATACTTCCTTGAATATTCAGGTTTCCCCATCTTTGACTAGCTTTAAGAGCACTCCTGGGCCCACAAAAAGTATAAAAGCCACCACTTCCCTTTCTTCAAATACACAAAAAATTACTTCCTTGTCAGAAAATACTTCTACAGCTGAACTAACAAAAGGTGCTGCATCTGTGAATACCCCTGTTTCATACCATCTATGGACTTCATCCAGTGCAACTCTGCCCTCTTTTACACCATTTATTGTTTCACCTCATAGCACTAAAACCAAGTTCTCTACTCCAAAGACTTATCTTCCTCCTATATCCCAAATGGTTGAATTTCCAGTTCTGGGAACAAAAACCACATCTAGTAACACCCAATCTCTGCTTATGACTTCCTGGAATACACCCATAGCTGAAGATTCTCAATTAGCAAACATCACCACTACTCATGTTCCTACACTCAACAAGATGGAAACAGAGACTCCATACTTTGTTCCTGGGTCTTTGTCAACATTCACAGCCTCACAGACTGGTCTTGTATCTGGATATGTTATGGCAATGTCATCACTTTCCACATCAGGAATTCTTCCTACTTTGCAGATGTCTGAGAACCCTTCATTGTCAATATCTTCAAGATCTATCCCTACCACTTCCGTTGACATTAAACAGATATTTGAGAAGACTACCTCATCTATAACTCCAGGAACCACACCCCCATCAAATCCTTCTGGTGCCACTTCAAGATCTATAATTTCAAAGGCTACTACTACACCCATGCTGACCTGGATCTTATCTAGTCTCTCGTCACGTTCTCCTCTGGTATCTGTTTCTAATACTCCTCACATTATAACTTCCTCTAAAGTAGAGATGCCAAAATCTACATTTCCTACTTCTGACATGACACCAACATACCCATTCACTAACCTTACAACACTATCCTTTGCTACTGTAAGCCCCATACTTACCAAAACCACTCTTACAACTACAGTAAGTGGTATCACTACTGGCTTCCCAACTTCTCTCCCTATGTCTGTAAAAGTCACAGATGACTTCTTGTACATTTCCAAATCCCCTCAGGCTTCTTCCAGAACCATTGTGACTGCCAACTCCAGGACTGTGTCTCAACCTTTATCCATTAGCAGAATGAGTAGTTCACCTCCTACAACTGATCATACCCTATCTATTGGTTCCATGCCTCTGCCTAACCCTACAATAACATCTGTGTGGAGCAGAATCCCAGCTGCATCAGCATCCCCTACTTTGGTTTTTCATAAGCCCACAGTGGACTCCCTTCCAAATATAACAACCACTATACCTACAGCTACTGAAGTACATCCATTCATATCTACTGGAGTAACACATCCTTCTACAGCAACAGTGTCTTCATTACTTTCCTCCTCTTTTGAGACATCCTGGCTGGACTTCACACCTTCCTTTCTATCTACAGAAACATCAACTTCACCTATTGCCACTGAGTCCACAGGTATGTCCCACAATGTGTGCAGTGTATCACTAACAGAATGCATGCACAATGAGTCATGTGTTCTCCAAGGTGGCCAGTTTTATGAAGGCAGAAAAGGATAAAGAGGGGCATGGGCATTTATTATCTCCATCAGATAGTGGATACCTTACTCAAATACAGAACTCTTTAGCCATCTTTCTCATTTTTGCTTTATTGAAATATAATACAAATGTATCTTTTTACTCAGTGTGACATTTCTAAGTCTCTTTTTCACCCATTTTGTTCTGATGCTCTGACCCTAACTCTAACAATGTGAACATAGATCAGGAACCTCACCCCTTCCCAATAAGAGGATTATATAGTTTTAGGAGCAACATATTGACCACATTCCAGAAATCACCAGAAGATATTCTAGCTTGTCCTTTTGGAATTCCTCTGATACAAATCTCAACCTTCTCTAGTCTTCATCTCCAGCTGGCTTGAGTCATGGAGTATTTGGCTTCCATATTGCCCAAAGTTTGGATGTTCCTTCAACTTTTTACATTCATTAAAATTTGATAGGGCAGACAAAAGAAAAAAGGAACTACCAAGAGAAAAACCTGAAACAGAAAGACAGACCAGAAAAAAGAAATATTTCCTCAGGACAAATGATTTTGTGAGATCATGTTTAACTTGGCTGTTAAATGGATTGGAAATCCATTGGTCAATGAAAATGGAGAGTTTAGGAGGTTTGTAGAATGTCTATCAACTGCATAGGGAACTTCCCAAATAATTTTAAAAATGTGATGGTACACCCTGTTTTGCTTTTTAAAATTATTTTAAATTTTTTTTCAATTAAAATTTTATTCAATATTATTTTGCATTAATTTTGGGTCTGTAAAATAATGGTTAGACAATCATGTACTTTGCAAGTGTTTCCCTGATATTTCCAGTGCTCACCTGGCACCGTACATAGTACATAGTTATAGTACATAGTTACTATAATATTATTTACTGTATTTCCTATATTGTACTTTACATCCCCATGACTATTCTGTAACTACAAATCTGTATTTCCCTTTTTCCCAATCTGTACTTCTTGATCCCTTCACCTTTTTCATCCAGTTCCCCAACCCCCCTATCCTCTGACAACCACCAGTCTGTTCTCTGTATCTATGAATCTGTTTCTGTTTTGTTTATTCCTATTTGCTTTTGAATATGAAGCTAAGATGCTGGTTCTTGAACTTGGAGTTAAATTAAGCTAAGTTTAAGAATGAGATTTCACTGTTTGGTTTCTTTAAATAAAGATAATTTTGACCAAATTTATACAAGTTAAATGTCTTTACTATATAAATAAAATTAATCTCCTTATTTTTAATTACAGTTTCTTTCTATAATATTGGAATGAGCTTCTCTATCTTTGATGAAGAGCCAGCGATCCCTATTACCAGTGTTGTAAATGGATTAGCAGAAAATTGGGTACATTGAGCTTTTAAATATTTATGGTACATATAAAATATGTGAATATATATGTATATATATAACAAAGACTGAGTACATTAAAACTAGGATTTACTTTTTCTACCCATATACATTTCACAGTGAATTAGTTTTGATGTTTTTGCTGAAAGTCTATCCACTCTGTAATCAACACCATGAAGATGTATGTGGTTTTTCTTTCATAGCACCAATGTTGAAAGCTTTTATGAGATATTAATATTTTAATTTGTTTAGAAGTGTACATTTTCTTCCACTTGTACAAATTCTGGATTTTGCCAAATTTTCCTATTTGGGGAAACTAGGAGAGCAGTGATAACAAAGTCTATGTCATTGTATTTAGATATTTTTGTTTTCTGAATTTTAACTTTTTTTCTCTCTTACACAATAAATGTTTTACTTATTCTTACATTTTTCTGATCATAAGAATACTACATACTCTTTGTAAAAATAAAAAAACTGAAGTTTGAAACCCAGAAGGTATATGTCGATTTTAGTACTGCTCCTTGTATTAATTACTCTGAATAGTTTGAAGTATATTCTCTCAGATTTTTTCTATGCATTCAATGACATTGATGCATGTATGTTCTTTTATAAAAATAATGGGTATCATACTAATTATGCTAACTTGCTTTTTTTCACTTAACCACCTATCTCTGAGCATATTCATGTTTATAAATATAGACACCTCATACACTTTAACAGATGCATAGGACTTCCCTAGATGATGTAAAGTAGTATTTTTTAATCTGGATATCCACTGGTGGCCATTCATGTGTTTCTATTTATTTCTATTTGGAAACAATTTTGACAATAATGCTCTTGTGATAAATTTGGGGGAACCACTTGAGTTTCTATAGGGTACATTCCTAGAATTGGGCTTTGTGAATCATAAACATTTCACATGTTAATAGCTATTGCTAAATGACCTCCCAGATAGGTGATACAAACTTGCATCCCTACCAATAGTAAACGATCATATCTATTTCCCTTCTCTCCCCATCAGCATTTATTTTCAAGTGTATATGACATGAATATAAGTGCTTGACATGATTGAGTATATTTGTCTACTAAGGTTGGCATAACATAACAGTATGATTCACTAGGTGTCTTGAACAGCAAACGTGTCTTGGGTTGGCCAAAAAGTCTGTAAGGTTTTTTTTTCCCCATAAAATAAAAGATACATTTTTTTTTTATTTTCACCAATAACTTTATTGATTTGGATATTTTGAGTGTGTCGGCTATCTCCCACATGGTATAACATAGATTGTTTTCAATTAAAGTCTTGCTTTGATCACTATCAATTTCAAGTGGTCCACCCAACCTTGGAGCATCGTCCAGCAAGAAGTCTCCAGTGTGAAACTTCATGAACCACTTTTGACATGTTCCATCAGTCACAGTATCTTCTCCACACACTGCACAAATCTTTGTGTGTGTGTGTTTCAACACTTCTTGAAATAATAAAGCATAATGTGCTGAGAATGTTGCATATTTTCTTCCATCTTCAATATTAAAATGGCTACACAAAGATTCACCAATTTTGTTAAGTTTTTAAAAGGTGCATGCTAATATGTCAGCTGTCACAATACAATCTAATGGAATTGTTAGAATGGAGTTAAAGACAACTAAGTGCTACTAGAGCCATCTTACTGAAACAAAAAACTTTTTGGCCAACCCAATATTTTCTCAGGGTTTTGGAGACTGGAAATCCAAGATCAACATGTTGGCAGGGTTGGTTTCTGGTGGGGTCTCTTGTTGGCTTGTCGATGGTTACCTTCATGTTGTGTCCTCACATGGCCTTTTATGTGTATGTGTGGAGAGAGAGAGGGAGAGAGGTGGGGGGGAGAGGGAGAGGGAGGGGGAGGGAGAGGGAGAAATCTCTGGTGTCTTTTTCTATCAGATTAAGGTTTCACCCTTAAGACCTCATTTAGTCTTAATTACCTCTGTAAAGGCCCTGTCTTCAAATAGAGTCAAATTAGGGGGTTAGGGCTTTAACATATGAATTTTAGGGGAACAGCATTCAGCTCATAACAGTAGGTATAAACCAAGTGGATCAGAAGACAATGTTGAACCAACTGAAATAATGAATGAAGCTTAATAATAACAAGATCTTAGGTAACTTTTCTGGGTTAATATAGAGGAGTGGGAATACTAAAACTGGTATGTTTTATTTTTTGCAGCTGAATTCTGTATTTCAGGACAGTGAATTTTCTCTTGCTAATCTGGCTATTCAAATTAAAAGCAGGTATGTGAGTGTCAACTTCTATGGGTTGAAGGGTAGTTTGAGGGCACTCTGAGTTTATTATTACCCAGAAGAGATTTCTTTTGTTTTTGTGTGAGATGTACAGACTGCTGCATTTTGAGTTGCACCTCCCCTTCTGAATGTTAGGTTCTCTTTGGAATAAGAAAGAAATTTGTATTATTACTATAGGGTATAAAGCCAATGGGAGAACAAAAGTGAATAAAATAAGTAGGGAAACAGTGGAATTGAACTCAGTTACCTCTAATTCCCCCTTGAGCCTTAAAATGTTATGATTATGCCCTTGCTGGAGTAGCACAGTGGATTGAGTGTGGAGTGTAAATCAAAAGGTCGCTGGTTCAATTCCTAGTCAGGGCACATGCCTGGGTTGCAGGCCAGGTCCCCAGTAGGGGGCACATGAGAGGCACATTGGTATTTCTCTCCCTCTCTTTCTCTTTCCCTTCCCCTCTCTCTAAAAATAAATAAAATATTTTTAAAAATGATATAATTCTAAAACTTAGGGGAAAAATCATACCTTAAAATATGAAAGGCTCAGAATAACCAATGCAGGAGAATTTATAAGATCTTTTATTTTTGGGTAATGCACTTCCAGGAATTGGAAATTCCAAAGGTAACTTGAAATGTTTAAAGTGAGGAATTCTGACTAGTCCAAGACTTTCCTGGGGCACAAAATTGGAGATCTGATTGCAGTGAAATTGTCAGGCACTAAGTAGTATCAAGGAGACTATGACCAAGGCAATTGGCCATCTAAGAAATATTTCCTCTGCTCTTGCACTGCACATATACTAATCCTCTGTTAAAGGAACATCAGAAAAATCCCTTTGAAAAATAAGCATGCCTCTGGCATACCATGTAAGCTGATTGTTAAAACCGTAAATGTGACTGCTTATCTTCCATACTGGGATTTTGGTTTCTACTGCATGTTGAAATATAAATAGGTTCAAGCAAAACAGAACCAGAGACTTAGAAATAAAGAGCATGCTGACAGTGACCACAGTGGAGGGGGATAATGGGGGAAAAGGGGAAAGGGGCAAAAAGGGAATATGAATAGAGGACTCATGGGCATAGAAGATGGGGGAGATTGACTGTGGGAGTAGAGGGGGTCGGGGTAGGGGAGAGCAATGGGGGAAAAGGCGGGGCAACTGTAACTGAACAACCATAAACTTAAAAAAGGTTTATAGAAAGTAATAGAAGTAAATATATGTTAGGTTAGTAAAAGAAAACTGGGGGTGTTTGCAGTATGCAGCATTCTTTTAAAAATTATGTCAATTATTTTCCTTATTACAAAAGTAATATGTGACCATTATAAAATCTTAGAGTTTTACAGAAACATACAACCTGGATAGTAGAAATCTCCAAAAACCCACCTTTCCCCACTCACTCCAAGAACTCTAGTTAACATCTTACATTATATATTCCTCTAGATTTGTTGCCATGCATTTACTAAGAGAATGGGATCCTACTCATGTGTTTCTAACTTCCTTTTCTTGCTTTAGAATACATCATTTATATCTTTTCAGGCCAATATGTACATATTTAGCTTATTCATTTTTATGCCTGAATAGGATTCTTTGTATGGGTGTGCTATGGTGTATTTATCTAATTACTGTTTCAGTTATTTCCATCCTTGTACACACATATTTTTATGTATGCTTGTCGGTACTGTATTATGGGATAGACTCTTGGAAGTGGGTTTGTTGCGTCAAAGGCTTACCATTTTGGTATGCAAATAACGAGCAAGTTCTTTTGAAGTGTCTCCTTGGAACCCTACTATCATGTGAATTCCAAGCTGGGGGAGTGTACTGTTTTGCCTGAGAGTTGTGTTTCTCCTGAACTTGTGCCACTGTGTATTTGGTACTCTATTTCATTTTTCTATAATTTTGATGCTTTTGATACAGAGACACTTCTGAGGAAGAAATAACCATGGACCAAAATTTTGTAAGTAATTTTTCAAAACAAATGTACTTGTTACCCATCTATACCTGATTAGATGTAAGTAAATAGCTCTTCCATCCAAGTGTAAATTATTAGGCAAGGCTCAGTTGTGATCACTAAGGGTCAAAATACACTATCTTCCTTAGAATCTGCATAAAAAGCCATTAAGGAAACCATCCTCTGCTTTTCTGAATTATCTATGTGGCAGTTTTTGAGGCACATTTTATAAGCTTTAGAAGTATGGAATGATTTTGGGATTGTAAATGGTAAATGGAATTTCTTGGCTGTGGACTTCTTGCAAAGAAAGGAAAAACCTGGATTTTCCAAGAGTGACACAGTTATTTGTGAGGCTTACATTCACATAATGAATTCACCCTCTGTTTGTATACATTTGGAGTCAGGATGTGACAAAAGTATCTCCCATCATGTCTGTCCCAATTCTCACTGCTTATTCCTATGCCTGAAAGGTCTACTATGTTAGACTCTGAAAGGGTTAGTAAGCACAGAGATTTTAAGGTATTTAAATATGAGATACATATTTTGGCTATACAAAATGCAATCAGTGAATTCCAAATATCTGTCATCATTTAAAATACTATCTATAAATAGCTGAGTCAGAATTTTAAATTTAATACATGACAGATAACATGACATAAACTTCCTCTCAAATAATAGGTGTCAAAGTCTTTTGGTGATAATGTGGTCCCCAGAATAAGGCTGCCTGGGTTAGAATCTCTGCTCTTCCACTTCCTGACTGTGAGACCTCGGACTACTTAATTAACCTTTGTGTGCCTCAATTTCCTTAGCTGTGAAATGAGAATAACAATATTACCATTCCTCACAGGGCCATTGGCAAGACAGAATGAGAAAATTTATGTAAAATGCTTAGCACAGGACATAAAGCATAGTAAATGCTTGGTAGTATTTACTATTGTCATCACTATGTTAGGCTTCTGATCCAGAAGGCTTAGATTTCACTTCCAGTTTTTTGACTCATCCACTGTGTGATACTGGGCAGATCGTTAAACTTCTCTGAGACTTAGCTTCCTCATGTAGAAAATGGGGTGACAAGCCCTGGATTGCCCATCCTACAGGGTTGGTTTGAGGACTACATGCATTGATGTTTTTGAAGGTGATTTGAAGATGGCAATGTGTTACATAAATATAAAACATAATTATGACTATTGTTGTTAACAATAAGCCCTGTACTCAATTGTGACTTTTGTTTAAAGATTTCAGTGACTATGCACTTTTCTTTTGCATTATTTGGAACAGAGAGAAGCGCAAGAGATGGCTCCAGTTTCCCATGTACAATACAGGTATGAGCTGAGTTTATTCATAGCTGGTATATTTAGTTCTGATTTCCCTTCCATTTAATTCTGTTATGTACAGCTTGTTGGTCAGAGTTGTCAGGACTAGATCAAGGTATGGTGGTCATTTTACAAGGCTGTGATTGGGCTCTTTTTTGCCATCAATAAGGAATTTACTTGTTTTAAAAAAACCCAAGTGCTGGCATTGTCCAGAAAAATTTAACAGGTTTATTTATATTGTTGGAAAGTTGAGCTGCTGAAACTTGTTCACTGAAACAGTTTGATTTGCATCAATGCTTTTATGTCTCCATATTTATATTAAAAATTCACCCACAAATGAAAATGGAAAAACTGCCAATACCTGATATCTGTCCCCCATTTTCTACTTGCACTCATATACTTAGCTACCTTTTGACCCCATGGAAATAAATATCCAACAGTCAGAACCACCATTAACAGGAAGAAGATAATTTTTTTTCATTTCAGTACTTTATTTTTTTAATATATTTTATTGATTATGCTATTACAGTTGTCCCATTTTCCCCCTTCACTCCCCTCCACCCTGTACACCCTCTCCCACCCACATTCCCCCCCTTTAGTCATGTCCATGTGTCATACTTATAAGTTCTTTAGCTTCTACATTTCCCATACTATTCTTACCCTCCCCCTATCTATTTTCAACCTACAATCTATGCTACGTATTCTCTGTACCTTTTCCCCCTTTCTCCTCCTCCCACTCCCCTGTTGCTAACCCTCCATGTGATCTCCATTTCTGTGGTTCTGTTCCTGTTCTAGTTGTTTCCTTAGTTTCTTTTTTTCTGTTTTAGGTATGGTTGTTAATAATTGTGAGTTTGCTATCATTTTACTATACATATTTTTCTTTATCTTCTTTTCTTAGATAAGTCCCTTTAACATTTCATAAAATAAGGGCTTGGTGATGATGAACTCCTTTCACTTGACCTTATCTGAAAAGCACTTTATCTGCCCTTCCATTCTAAATGAAAGCTTTGCTGGACAGAGTAATCTGGGATATAGGTCCTTGTCTTTCATGACTTGGAATATTTCTTTCCAGCCCCTTCTTGCCTATAAGGTCTCTTTTTGAGAAATCAGCTGACAGTCTGATGGGAATTCCTTTGTAGGTTACTGTCCCCTTGCCTCTTGCTGCTTCTAGGATTCTCTCCTTCATTTTTTACCTTGGCTAATGTAATTATGATGTGCCTTGGTGTGTTTCTTCTTGGGTCCAACTTCTTTGGGACTCTCTGAGCTTCCTGGACTTCCTGGAAGTCTATTTCCTTTGCCAGAATGGGCAAGTTCTCCTTTATTATTTGTTCAAATATGTGTTCAATCTGTTGCTTTTCCTCTTCCCCTTCTGGTACCCCTATAATTCGGATGTTGGAACATTTAAAGATGTCCTAGAGGTTCCTAAGCTTCTCCTCGTTTTTTTGAATTCTTATTTCTTCATTCTTTCCTGTTTGGTTGTTTTTTTCTTCCTTCTGGTCCACTCTATTGTTTTGAGTCCCAGTTTCCTTCCCATCACTATTGGTTCTCTGTGCATCTTCCTTCATCTCTTTTATGGTAACCTGCATTTTTTCATGTAATTTGTGCCAAAATCAACCAATTCTGTGAGCTTCCTGATCACCAGTGTTTTGAACTGTGCATCTGATAGATTGGCTATCTCTTGGTTGCTCAAAAGGATGAGCCCTGGGGAATTGATCTGTTTTTCTGTTTGAGACATGTCTCTCTCTCTCTCTCTCTTTTTTTTTTTTTTTTTTTGGTCTGGTCGCTCCTCTTACGGTGAGGGGCGGAGCCTTATGTGTTCGCCGGGGCTGGGCACCCCAGTCGCTAGATTGTGAAGTTGTACGTGGGGGCAGGGGTGAATAATGGCGGTAGCTCCACTCTCCTGGGACCACAGTCCCTTCCCTGGGATCCTGGGCTGCACGCTCTGTCCCGGTCCACAATTGCCGCCTCACTAGATCCGCCAGCTGCCGCTCGAGTACTCAGGGTCGACCCACTGAGATTCTGCGCACCCTGTATGCCTTACGGGCTCCCGGTTGCCTCATGCACCCACTGCTCTCTGCTCTCTGAGCTGGGACCCATGCTGCAACCCGCGCCTGGCTGCTTGTCTCTGCCCCTCCTACTGGTCTGGATGAATGGGTCTACTTCAACATCTTGGCTGTCTGACTTCCATTCAGATAAATTCTCTGTCAGTTCTGGGTGTTATTCTGCCTCTAAATTGTTGTTCTAATCTTGGTTGTGCATGGAGATACGGTGCGTCCACCTATGCCTCCATCTTGCCAGAAGTCGAGTTTCTTCCACGCTTTAAGGTTCAATTGACACACTGAATATGGCGAGGCCCTGGGACCTCCAACACGACTAGCCACATTCAAGATCAGAAGATAATTTTTTAAAGAATGAAATGTTTCTTATCATAGTGGACTCTTAAGCATGTTTTCCATGTATGTGGCAATGCTAGCTGGATATCTTTTGGCATAATTGTTACACATTTGGCATGCATAGCACATAGGTTGGTGTCTTCAAAAAGTCCAACCAGGTAGACTTAACTTGCCTCGTGCAAAGCATCAATAACTGCCATTTGGAAGCACAGATCTCTGTTGAAGACCTGAGCGATTTATCACACCAGATGCTGGAAGGGAAATTTGTGAATCAGATGTTCAATGGACTTTTGATAATGTCTGATTTCATGAAGTGCCACAGTAACAGACCTGTAAGGATGAGGTTTTTTCACCTCTCCAGTAGAGGGCGCACTCTTGTGAGCAGCTTTGGTAGCCAGTTGCTTCCTCGGTGCTTTACCACCAGTGGATTTGCAGGCAGTCTACTTTGTACAAGCAATGGAATAGAGACCTCTTTACTTACCTGCTTCTCCTTTGGCTGGAGCTCAGCAAGGTAGAGGAGGCGCTGGTGTTAGAGAGAGGTGGCAGCTGCAAAAACAGTTCTGTAATTGGGCTCTTGCCTTCATGAAATAAGTTGTTTCAGTTGGTCATGGCACAGCCTAGCATCCTGCCTGCTGCCTCTTTGTAGAGAAGAAAAATGAAGTCAAAGGGAGTCATAATTTGGAGGTGGGGTAATAAAGTGTTTGTTGTCATCAAAAAAGTCCACAAAATTCTGAGCAGGGAAATTGAAAAAGCAACACAAAAAGCATCCTTGGTCCTGTTCAGACTTGAGGTCCAGCTCCTCCCAGAACACCAGCTATTGAGTTGTTTGATGCAACCCAAGAAGGACTTATAGCCAAAGAAGGCTCATGGGAAGGTCATTAAATGTCCACAGTGCTAAGAATAGAGAGTCTGTTGCAGCAAGAGGAGAGGATTAAAGAAGAGGAGTCCTCTTCAGACTGGAAAGATGAAAGCTAAGAAGAGATACTCTTCAAATGAAATAGGTAGGATGAACAGGGACTTCAGCAAATATGGATCAGTGTGAGAGCATGTCTTAGATTTGACATAGAATTTTTGAGTGTACTCAGGCACATCTAACTTTCAAAAGCTGGTAGGAAACATAGGAAATGTGTTATTAAAAAAGATGTATCTACAAATGGAAATGGAGAAAAGGTACAGGTAAGTTTGTGAACCTGAAATGTGCTCTGTAATGGAGCAGTACAGGAATTTAGAATGTTTGAGGACCTTGCTACAGAGGTTAAGGTCAAGGACAGCCCTGTTTTTGTTATAACATGTCTTCTAGTGGGAAGAGTATTTAGAAATGATATAACAGATCTTTGTGACCTTGGCTAAGGTTCAGTTTTCTCATGTGTAGAATGATGATAATAGCATTGCCTCATAAGGCTGTTGTGAGGATAACATGAATGAAAACATGTGGAGCAAGAATTCCACAAGTGTTAGCTACTGTGATTATCATTGTCATTATCATAACTATTATTATATTATAGAAATAGGCCTTTTGTAGAATACATCTTTATAGAATAATTGAGCAAGTGCCTATTTACCTTATTGTAGTAATGATGCATACACTGGAGACCAGGAAGATAAAAGGTTTTCTATGAAGTAATAAATCCTGAGTACTTCATCTCCTCTATTAATTATCACAAACTCCTAGAGAAATAGTATGTGTAATCAATTTGAACATAATGCAAATGTTGCTGACAGTTCTTTTGAAAATGGGTTTTGAGTTGTTTGCTTTGGATACAAGAAAATTTATCAGGAGATTTCAGTATGCTGTCTTCCATCATTTCTTATGATTTGCCACTTAATAGCTGTAAAATGTTTGATATTTATGTACTACCAATTAAATCATTTGGACAAAATTTCATGACCACAGGCCAACTTGCACACTGTTGACATAACTGCAACATACTTCTCTTTTGTTCTGCTTTTCAGCTGTGTTTGTCAGGTCATCATAAAGGCCAACTCTCCTTTGGCATCCACTGAATTGATTAACAGGATCAAAAGTAAAATACATGGTAACTTGACTCATGGAAACTTCAAACAAGATCAACTGACATTATTAGTAAAGTCTGAACATGTTGCAGTGAAAAAACTAGGTAATTTGGGTAGGGGTATTTCCATATTAATTCACTCCCCTTGTTATAAAGCTCATAATGCATATATAGTAAGAGATCCTGAATTCAGAGGGTGGAGAAGTGGTTTTCATGTTCCTTTCTACATCCTCAGTGCCCAAATGACTTGAAAACCTTTCTATCTGTCTATATCATCTCTTTCTCTATCTCTATCTCTATCTCTATCTATCTCTATCTCTATCTCCATCTCCATCTCTATCTCTATCTCTATCAGCTCTATCTCTCTCTATATCATCTATATATCTATCTGTCTAGAGAGAGAGAGAGCGCGCCAGAGGGGTTAACAGAGACTGTTGGTCAACTCTGTCCATCAATGGCATGGAATGACTGTCTCTCTTGCATAATATCCAGACACCTGGATAGCTTCCTAATTACACACAGTAGCTGCCCGATAGATATTTGCTAATTTATTGATTGATTTAGCCAGCCTGTTCATTTTGGAAATTGATCTGGGAACGGTCCAGAATTTCTTATAGGGACATTTACTTTTTAGATTAGCAAGGCTTTAATGGTAAAAGAGAAAAACTGTCAGGCCACTCCACTTCCTTCTCATTGATGCCTGCTTTCTTCCTTTTCCCCAATAGAATGTGGTAAAAATATTGAGGTAACCCAGATAACACATATGGGCATAAGAGAACACAATTCTTGGGAACAAACTAATTAGGTGGTGGAGGGCAGGCTATGATTGCAAATGAGAGTGAGATGGAAGGCAGAATAGTGTTGAAGCCACAGGCAGAGGTGCCATACAAATGATGCTAATGCATATGTCCTGAGAGTGAACAGAAGGCCCCTTTCATCCTCTTTCAGAGAGGAGATGGGGATGGCTGGGCAAGGCTATTTGGACCACTTCTTGGATCACTCTGTCAACACCTTGAGGGAGAGATTTTTGGAATCAAGATCACAACCCAGTGGGTGGTTAGTAAAAACTGGGAACTTATTGCATAAACAGTTCAGGTCATATTTTCTTAAGATGACAAAACTTGGCAGCAAAATCTTGCCCTCAGCACCAATATCAGAACAGGCTCTTGTCTATGTTCGTGATGGCAGATGCATTGAGTTTACTAAAACCAAATCCATGCCAGAGTCCGTTAAGAAGCAAAGAGCCATCCAGAAAGAGGTCAGCTTTTAGTCTCCTGTCACTGCAACTCACAATTAACAGTGGGTGCCTCAGAAGAAGGGCAACTGCCAGGTAGGAACTTTGATTTTTACTCTATGCCTCTTTGTGTGGCTTAAATTATTTTTAAGGTATGTGTATCATTTTTAAAAAACAAAACCAAAAATTCTTTCCTGTCAATTGGTAGTTTTAATGAAAAGGACTGGCTAAATGTGACGGTGTACTGGGAGGATTATTTTTTTAAAAGACTCCATTTAATGATATTTTCAGTGAAGCCTGATTTAAAAGGTCTGGTAAAAAAGGTTCCTATTTTATTTGCTGATGTTTGTGTACAGGTAATAATGATGGATCATAATGGATGTTCGTAATACTTTTAAGTGCCTTTTTGCTCTTTAAAATGTGCACATGTTTTCTTTGTAGAGCCTGGAAAGTGCAAAGCTGAGGAGACAGCCTCTAAATACAAAGGCACGTATAAGTGGCTCTTAACCAATCCTACTGAGACAGCACAAACTAGATGCATAAAAAATGAGTCTGGAAAAGCTACTAGAATCTGGTATGTACTGGCCAAGTTCTAAATGCTAGTTCAGACACACAAATATCTGCGAACTGGGGGCATGTTCTGTGTCATTTGTGTGACCATGTTCCTTTTCTCCCCTGCTACTGCCACTCTTTCTTTCTTTTGGACGTACTTAAGCATACAATGCAACATTGTAACAATCAAGAATTTCTGAGAAGACAGAAGAGAAAAAAGTCACACATTATCCCATCATCTGAACACAGCTGTTTTCAGGCTAACTAGTCTCTCATTCCTTTGTTTTATGTAGTGATGATCAGTACTCATATCAAAAATGGAATTTATCCTTTCACTCAATGATTTATCAACATTTTCCATGTTTTTTAAAAGACTGTATTTATTTATTTATTTTTAGAGAGAGGGGCAGGGAGGGAGAAAGAGAGTGAGAGAAACATCTATGTGTGACAGAAGTGTTGATTGTCCCAACTGAGGACCAGGCCTGCAACCCAGGCATGTGCCCTGACCAGGTATAGAACTGGGGACCTTTTGCTTTGTGGGTTGATGCCCAACCCACTGAGCCACATTGGTCAGGGTTACAGTGATCTTCTTAATGACAATTTTGTAAAACTGCCTCAGAAGCTAACTTATCAATTGACCATAATAATTTACCAAGTCACTCTTCTTGGTAGACTTTATAATTTTCCTTCTTAAAATCATTAGCCTCTATTTTTTTTTCACTGATTTTTAATGGTTTATGCCATTAAGTTAAGTGAACATACCAGAGGGGAAGCAGGTTTTGACAGAAATTAAAAGCTCTCTTTTAGAGGGCAACATTTTGAATTGTAATCTATCTCTTACTCTCTCTCAATGATTCATTGACTGATTACACCTAACCAGTCAATGAATCAAGGAGCTTTTACAGAATGTCAAATTCAGAGCTCACATTTATCCTGTCTTTTACATCCACACAGCCACTACCCTGGTGCAGCCCCTTACTATCTCTTGCCCACTATTAGAGCAGTCCTCTTGTATTCTAGCTGTCCACTACCACCCTCACCCACACCTATACTCCATACCACAGTCAGTGTGATTTTCCTAAAGGGTGGTTGTCATCATGCCACTTTCTCACCCTGGTTTCACATTGCTTCAAGAATTAAGTCCAAACACCAGTAAACACAGTACTCTAGACCACAGACTCCCTTCTTTAATGCTTGCAGCCAAAAAGGGCCATTTGCCAATTGTGGACTCAGTGGATGCTTCCTTGTATCTTTCTCTGCTTATGCCATTTGCTCTGCTGCTGCTGGTGGTGGGGGAGCTTTTTCCATCTCTGTCCTTTCAGTGAACAGCTTAGCTCAGTGGTTGCAAATATGTTTTCCTTGCTTGGTGGTTTGATAGAGTCAGTTTTGTTTAATATTGCTTTTCTTCTCCTATCTTGCCTGTTAAATGTAGTTACATTTACAGTCTCAAACCACAAATTACAAGCTCCTCAAGGGATAAGACCCTGTCCTGTTTGTCTTCACTACCTACTACCAGTACTAGAATATAGTGGGTGCTCAACAAATGTGTTAGTTGACTTGACATGAACTGGTTTGAATTGGATGAGGCATACAGAAGGGTAGATGATGAGGGCCAATGAGGTACAGATAATGTTACACTATTTGCCTTGAGTAAATTAATATGCTGAGATAGAGGCCACATTCTAACAGGAATGGAGATAAGAAGGGAAAGTGAGGGTAAGGAGTCATGTCCAGAAGGGCAAAATCTCTGCCTTGACTCTTGGTCTGCTGGACATTGTCATAGCCCATCTTATGCTCTTTTGCCTATTTATATCTCCTACAGGGGACCCTAGATTCACTTCTTCCCCAAGATCAGTTTTCTTCACTTTGCAGGCACCAGGCTCCCACCTTTGCTATCTCAGCCAGGAGGCTGGGAGTGGATAAAGAAGTGAGGCATGCCAAAGATAAACCATGGTCCTTCGCCATTTGGTTTAAGAATATTTTGGCATCACCCGCTGATGAAATCTTTTCTTCCTCTCTCCTCTCTTTTCCAGCTCAATCAGTATGGACACTGGCAAATCTCAGTGGGAAAAACCAAAGTTTAAACAATGCTACTTGCTTCAAGACCTTTCTAATAAGATTGTGGATCTTGCTAATATTACTATCAGTGATGGTAAGGCTTTTCTGTACAAATTGAAGAAATAACAGAACCTCAATTAGTCTACTTGACCTGAGACCAGAAAGAGTACAAGCAAACCTCACATAGGAAAATCTACCTTACAGAAATCCAGTTTCAGAAACTAGGTAGTTAATGTTGGTGGAGGTGGGAATGGAGCATGACAAGTTAAGACTATCAGTGTTTTTGTTTCATAATGTTTTTACTTTATAATTTTTAGCTAATTATTATTTTTATTTCATTTCACTTTCCAAAATTTTAATATATAATATTTCACATAGTTTAATATTGCAAAAAACCCCCAAATACTGAGAAAAAGCTCCTTCCTACTGCTGATTCCAGTCATTCAGTTAATATCCACAGATATATTTTATGCATCTCTAAGGAAATTTATATATGTATATATATATATACATATCCAATAATATACATATATGTATATTCTCCTTCCCTTTTTATATACAAAATGGACCATGCATACATGCTGTTCTTCACCTTGCTTTATTCTTTTTTAAAAAGATTTTATTTACTTATTTTTAGAAAGATGGGAAAGGAGAAAGAGAGGGATAGAAACATCAATGTGTGGTTGCTTCTTGAGTGCCCCTTAGTGCGGACCTGGCCCACAACCCAGGCATGTGCCCTGACTGGGAATCAAACCAGTGACCCTTTGGTTCATAGGCCGGCACTCAATCTATTGAGCCACACCAGAAAGAAAATATGTTGAAGAAATGATCATATTAGTATATGAAGGGCTTCCTCATTCTTTTTCCCACTGCATTGTATTATTCTGTGTGTATTTCTTTAACCTGTTTCCTATGGATGGGCATTTAAGTTGTTAATAACATTTTTTTAAAAAAACTGCTGTAATGGGTATCATTCATATGTCATTTTGTGCAAATTCAGTATTCTTGAAGCATAAATTCCTAAAGTAAAGTTGCTAGGTCAATCATACTTTTGATGGTGTCAAAATGCTCTCTATAATAGTTGTACCAATTTATACTACCACTTGCAAGGCATGAAAGTGCCTGTTTCAGAACTCCTACATCAACACATCATAATATCAGATTTCTGGATCTTTGGTGATTTGATAAGTAGAAATTGATATCTCAAAGTAGTTTAAAACCTTTTTATGGAGATATTCATATATAATAAAATTTACTTGTTTAATGTGTACAATTTCATGGTTTTGGGTGTTTTTTTTTCTTTTTTTTAATTTTATTTTAATCATTGTTCAAATACAGTTTTCTCCTTTTTACTCCCAGTCCAGCCCCCCACTCCTCCCCACTTCCCTCCCATTACCACCCTCCCCTTAGTTTATGACCATGTGTCCTTTAAGTTTGTTCCCTTGAACCCTTCCCACTGTCCCCTGAAATTCCCTCTACTCTCTTCTGTGGGCACTGTCAGCCTGACCTCTATTTCAGTGTCTTTGTTATATTTTGCTTGTTTCTTTGTTTTGTTGTTTAGGTTCCTGTTAAAGGTGAGATCTTATGGTTTTGGGTGTTTTCTCTAGACTGTGTCATCATCACCATTAATTCCAGAATGTCTTAATCATTCCAAAAAGAAACACTGTACACATTAGCAGTCATCTTTCATTCCCCTCTCCTCCAGCCCCTGGAAACACGTAATCAACTTCGTTTCTTCTTTAATTTTATTTTTTGTATTAATATTTAACATGAATCTACCCTTTTGATGATTTTTAAAATAATTTTTAAAATCCTCACCTGAGGATATGTTTATTACTTAGAGAGAGAGAGAGAGAGAGAGAGAGAGAGAGAGAGAGAGAGAGAGAGAGAGAGAGGGAGAGAGAGGGAGGGAGAGAGAGAGACATATTGATGTGAGAGAGAAACATTCACCAGGGATTGAACCTACAACCTAGGTATGTGCCCTGACTGGGAATCAAACCTGCAAAATTTTGCTGTATGGTATGATATTCCAACCAACTGAGCCACCAAGTCAGGGCCCTTTTGATAATTTTTTAAGTACTAGTAAATGACTATTGACTTTAATAGATACAATGTGATACAACAGCTGTCTAGAACTTACTCATCTTGCTTAACTGAAACTTTATATCTGTTGATTAGTTATTTCCTATTTCCTTTTGCCCTAGCCCCTGACAACCACATCATACTCTGTGCTTCTCGAGTTCAACTATTTTTTTAGATTTTACATATAAGAGACACAGAAAGATACTGGATCTTTCTGAAAGATCCAGTATCTTTCTGTGTCTGGCTTATTACACTTAACATAATATCCTCTAGGTTCATCCATGTTGTTCCAAATTGCAGGAGTTGTTTAATTTTGTGGCTGAATAATATTCCATTACACACACACACACACACACACACACACACACACACACACATATCACCTTTTCTTTTTTAAATCATTTTTCATTTTCAATTACATTGACATGCATAATTATATTAGTTGCATGTGTACACCCCATTGATTACACATTATATTAAATAGTAAGTGACCATCCTGGTAAATCTTGCACCCACCTGACACCATGCATAATTACTAGAATATTATTGACAATATTCCCTATGCTGTACTTTACATCCCCATGACTGTTACAACCAATCTGTACTCCTTAATCCCTTCAACTTTTTCACCCATCTCCCTAATACCCTTCTCATCTGGCAACGATCAAAACATTCTCTGTGTCTATTCTGTTTCTGTTCTGCTTGTTCATTTATTTTGTTTGTTAGATTCAATTGTTGATAGATGTGTATTTGTTGTCATATTAGTTTTCATCTTTTTTAATCTTTTTTGCTTTTTCTTAAAGAAGACCCTTTAACATTTCAAATGATATTGGTGATGAACTGCTTTAGCTTTTTCTTGTCTGGGAATCTCTTTATCTGTGCTTTGATTCTAAATGATAGCTTTGCTGGGGAGAGTAATATTGGTTGTAGGCCCTTGCTTTTCATCACATTGAATATTTCTTGCCACTCCCATCTGGCCTGCAAAATCTCTGTTGAGAAATCAGCCAACAATCTTATGAGGGCTCCCTCATAGATAACTAGTTTCTTTTCTCTTGCTGCTTTTAAGATTCTTTCTTTGTCTTTAACCTTTGGTATTTTAATTATGGTGTGTCTTAGTGTGGGCCTCTTTGGGTTCATCTTGTTTGGGACTCCGCACTTCATGGACTTGTGTGTCTTTTTCCTTCACCAAGCTAGGGAAGTTTTCTGTCATTATTTTTTTCAAATAGGTTTGTAATTTTTTGCTCTCTGTCTTCCTTCTCTGGCACTCCCACGATGTGAATGTTGGTACACTTAAAGTTGTCCCAGAGACTCCTTACACTAGCCTCCTATTTTTTATTCTTTTTTCTTCTTGCTGTTTTGATTAGTTGTTTTTTGCTTCCTTATATTCCAAATTGCTCATTTGATTCCTAGCTTCCTTCACTTTACTGTTGATTCCCTGTGAATTATTCTTCATTTCAGTTAGTGTATCCTTCATTTTTGACTGCTTTTTTATACTGTTGAAGTTATCACTAATTTCATTGAGCACCTTTATAACCAATGTTTTGAATTCTGCTTCCAGTAGCTTGCTTGTCTCCATTTTGTTTAGTTCTTTTTTTTTTAGTTTTGTTCTGTTCTTTCATTTGGGCCATATTTCTTTGTCTTCACACTTTGGCAGCCTCCTTATGTTTGTTTCTATGTATTAGGTAAAGCTCCTATGTCTCTCAGACTTGGTAGAGTGGCCTAATGTAGTAGGTATCCTATAGGATGCTTCCCACAGAGAAGGACTTACTTCAGCAGGGCTCTGGTGCCTGCTGAGTCTGCCCCTTGAGTATACTACTTGTGGAGGTGGTTGGGTGGTGGTGCTTCAGCGTGGTCTGAAGCTGTCCACTGGGGCCTCCCAGGAGGTGCAGGCCAAGGTCAGCCAACACCTGTATTCTGCCTGGGGCCACCTGGCATAAGTGACAAAGTGATCTGCAGATGGCTGCTACTTGTGCTGGGTTTGGAGGTGCCCAGGTGAGGCCAAGCTGTGAGCCAAGGCTAGTTACAGCTAGTGCTGGGCCTGGGGCCACTTAGCAAGAGGTATGGGGCATGCTGAGGCCAGATGCTGCTTGTTTTAGAGAATATAGGAAAATCTGAAACATAAGCCAGGACAAGCCATTCGTTTGGAAAAGCCACTGGAAATAGCTTGTGTAGGCCCAAAACTTGGGAGGGGCAGGGCCTCAGGGAATCACCAAAATGGGGCAAACCATGTGAACCAGATTGATAGATTCTCAGATATGGCACCCACCTGCTGGCTCTCTAGGGGGAGGGCTCATCAAAGGAACAATGGCCTCTGCCAGCACTTTTGTCTGGGAGAAATCTGCCCCTCCAGCTCTCACCCTCATGCCAGACAATTCCGTTTCTCCCTGTATGTCCCTGGTGCTGTTCAAGCTGCCTTCACCTCACTCCCCAAGCTGGAGCTCGGGGAGGGAGTGAATCCAAGTAAGTTTGTGTGCTGGCGGCCCTTTAAGAGAAACTTCCTGGAACTCCAGAAGCGTCCACCTTCCTCAGACTCAACCCCTACTGGTTTTTACAGCCAGAAGTTATGGGGACTTCTCTTTCTGGCACTGGAGCCCTGGGATGGGGATCCTGGTGTGCGGCTGGGACCCTCTCACTCCTCAGGGGGGACCCCCCTTCCAATTTTTATCCACCATACATGGGTGTGGGACCATACCATTCCACATCTTCAAGCATCCCACCAGTTTCAATGTGGTTTCTTAATTCCATAGTTGTAGATGTTAAGATCTAAATTTGATATCCTTGCCATAGAATATCTAGAAGAATTAGAAAAGCAAGCACAGCCCTGATGGTTTCTATATCTGAAATCATGAGTCAGGGCAATAGGAAGTGTTGCAACTTGGAGTGGGTGGCAAGAGAGAGAGAGAGAGAGGTCTGCGTTTCATGCTGACCTCCCTCCTTCTCAGTGATACATTTTTCTTAGACATGCTAATAGAATTTTCTCTGTGGAAGAAAATGTTAACAACTGTAACAACAGAAGCATTGCATTGGGTTGGGATTTTTAGAAAATTAACTGTGAGAACTCATGTTGTAAAAAAAAACTGCAGAGGAAGAAGACAGTTGCATGGTAGTTGTAAGTATACCTATAACTGAAAGATAACTTTTTAGGTTTATTAGCGTTGGAGGAATCCTTTTCTCTTTGTAAGTTAGAAGCTTAATGAAAAAGAGGTACAGTATAAAGGAAAAAATACATTGACATTGAAACATTTTTTCTTTAGCTTTCAATCTTGCTGACAAGCATTTGATAACTTTGTTAGAAAAAACTCATCATTTTTCCACTTAAATATTCATTTCTGATAACTTTTTAATATCACAGAGTTAGAAAAGATACCCTTATATAAAAGGTCGGTGGGTTCTCTGCTGTGATCAGTTTTTGGTACCTCCATGATATTTAAGATATATCACATTCTAATGAAGTTGGCTGGAACTTTTCACAAAACTGTTTCCTGTCTGTGTGCATCCCACTGTCAGGGTAGGATAGTGTGTGATTGAGATTGAATAATGTAATTCCAAGCTACATCAGGCAGAACTGTTCTAACCCCCAACACCATGGAGAAAAACACAAAACACAGATGCTATAGTAGAAAGTGATATTGAATAACACTAGCTTTGGAATCAAACAGTCCTGGGTTAAAATCTGGGTTAGACTTCTGCATCTTAATTTATTAACCTGTACAAAGTGAATAATAATAAAGTATTTACCACATAGGATTATTGTGGTAATTAAATGAGGAAATGTACATATAATGCCTTGCTGTGGTATCTTCTCTCCAAAACGCCCACCATCAATCCGTTCCCGCCTTGTCAAGTGGGAGTTAAATCAGGGCTGTCTTGTGACTGGTTAGCTTAGTAGAATTTGACAGTAGTGACACTGTGCCAATTATGGGACTAATTTTCAGCAGGACTGAATTTTCTGCTTCTGTTCTCTTGGTATGCTCTCATTTAGGATTCTTCATCTTATAACTCAGACACCATGCCATGAGAAGCCCAAAGAGAGGTGTGTTAGAAAAGGTTTAATAAGCAGCTCTTTCAAAGAAAAAGATAATGATTTATAGCTCCAGTACAACACAAGCCAACCCCCCCTCCATACAACAGCCTAAGCCACTGGGAGAGACTATGTACCAGGAACAGTGTCAACTGACCCAAATGACAAGAGCTCCAACTGACCATTCTATGGTGCTATTTACTGGCAGCCATGTGAGTAGGCCATCTTGGACATCCAGCCCAGTCTAGCCTTCAGATGACCAGTCCCAGCTGCTAACTGACTGCAGCTACATGAGAGATACCAAGTGAAAATTGCTCCGCTGAGTGTAATCAGAACACAGAACCATGAGGGATAATAATAAATTGTTGTTTTAAGCCATTAAGTTTTGGGGTGGATTGTTATGCAGCAGTCAAGAACTACAACAGTGGCTCATAAGAATTGCTCAATAAATAACAGATAATATTATTGTTTTGATTGTCAGATTAATTGTAACCATTTTAAGTAATGGGAATATATTTATCCTACAATAATTAATGGAGGATTCCTTTTATTGCTCTTGCTTCAGGACTTAGAACTTTTTTTTAAAGATTTTATTTATTTTTAGAGAGGGAAGGGAGGGAGAAAGAGAGAGAGAGAGAGAAACATCAATGTGCGGTTGCTGGGGACCATGGCCTGCAACCTAGGCATGTGCCCTGACTGGGAATCGAACCTGAGACACTTTGGTTCGCAGCCCGAGCTCAATCCACTGAGCTACGCCAGCCAGGGCAGGACTTAGAACTTTTATACAAGTGTAATTGTCCTAAAGTTTTACTTAAAAACCATGTAACTCTAGATGAAATGTCTAGAATTACTTTCTACAGTACAGTTGGTCTCCTAGTGGCCTGTTGTTTATTTTCATTCTGCCACAGCAGGGACTACATAAAGTGAAGTCCACCACTGCCACCCAGAGAATACTGACTGCAGGTAGACAGCTCTAGCTGTACATTTATAACAGAGCCTGGACAATTTAATAACATCAGTGGAAAGATATGTGAGTGAACAGGCTATATTTTCCTTCCATCCTAGTCTTATTGTTTTCTCAGTTTCTTTAACTGATCACAAGATAGATGTAACAGGGACAAAATATTAATTTAGAAGTAATTAGTACAACCTTGTTCAATCTCCACTCTTTCTTCATCTCCTCAGAGAGAATTCTCTGCCCACTCAGTTCCTATGTAAGCCATTGCTGAGCAGACTGCAATGATGGTTAAGAGCAGGGGTGTCAAACTCATTTTCACTGGGGGCCACATCAGCCTTGAGGTTGCCTTCAAAGGGCTGAATGTAATGTTAGGACTGTATAAATGTAACTACTCCTTAACTAGGGGCAAGGAGCTCTACATTTGACCCTTTGAAGGCAACCTTGAGGCTGATGTGGCCCCCAGTGGAAATGAGTTTTACACCCCTGGTTAAGAGCATGGGGGGGGGGGCTAAAATTAAGAAAATCTCAGTTAAGATTTCTTAATTTACATTAACAATGAAGGGGAGAGAGAGAGAGAATGAGAGTGATATTTTATGCTTTATTATTCTGTTTTTCCAAACAGAGTTGGTTGTTTGTAATGTGACATGAGTTAAGTGTGTTATGAACATAATAGCTCTCTGGAATTTTTCTCAACAGATTTTATTTTTCAATCATTTTCAATTTTATTTTGTTACTCTACTGGAATATGAGTGCTTTAAGCTAGGATGGTACCACAAGGGAGCTCAGCTTTATATGGGTTGTACTGAACCAAATTCTAATTTCTGTTATTTGTTCAACAAAGCTCTTAACTTTAAAAGTCACTGATGATTCAAACAAAAACTATTTTTAAAAAACATTTATGAGACAGTTAGGGACATTCAAGCACTGGGTGGATATTTGATGGTTTTGAGTGTTATTGGTAACCTTTAAAAGCTATGATGCTAATATTGTGATTATGAGAAACATAGGTCCTTTGTTTTAGAGATGCATACTGAAGTATTTGTGGATGAAGTGATATAATGTCTGGAATTTGCTTTAAAATAATCTGGGGTTGGGAGAAGGTGGGTGGGAATGTAGATAAAATCAGATTAGCTCTGTAATGACACTTGTTGAAGTAAGATGATTCATAAGGTACATGAGGATTCATTAGACTATTCTTTCTACTTTTGTGCATGTTTGAAAATTTCCATAACAAAGAGTGAACAAAAAAGTGGGTGATTATCTATTGTTCTTACTTGCTAGAAAAATCTAAATTAACTTGCTTTTTATTGGTATGTGGTCCAAATTTGCTATTCTTCTGTGGGCTGATGGTTCTCGATATAAAAACTATCACCACCCTTGATTATAAAAATGTAGGCTGAGTGTTTGCTGACATTTGAGTACCAGTGGGATATACTTAACTAAATATAATGCTCACAAGTCTTAACTTAATTGAATCTAATTGTAAGATAATTCTTCAGTGACAAAAAGTTCTCTCTGGTGTATTTAAAAAAGGATTTAATGAATAAAACCTTGACTTATGTGTTACTTTCTAAGACTCCATCTATTGTAGAAATTAAGGTCCAACGTTTTCCTTCTGTAAACTTTATTTTGTGTGTATTTCCATTTCACAGCCTTTACTTTTTAAAGGGAAGGAAGCAGACTAGCATGGCCCAAAACTAAGTAATGCAGGTTTTACATTTCTATTTTGTTTGTCTAGAAAATGCAGATGATGTTGCCAAGCACATTTTAAATTTGATAAATGAATCTCCCTCTCTTGATGAAGAAGAAACAAAGATTATTGTTTCTAAATTATCTGATATTTCACAATGTGATGAGATAAGTATGAACCTAACCCAGATTATGTTACAAATAATCGATGCTGTTTTGGAAAAAAAAGACAATTCAGTATCTGATCTGCATGAAGTAACCAATGAGTAAGTACTAATACTTTAGAAAAATAAATTATTTTGTGAAATTTAAAATATTTGCTGTTTTCCACACACAGTAATCACCAATTTTATTTTTATTTATTTATATTTTAATTAGATCACCCAGATAACCTGTTAACATTTTATCTATTTTTTAAATTTAACTGTATATATTTCTTATTGTTGTTCAAGTACAGTTGTCTCCATTTTCTTCCCACAACTGTCCTTCACCCCAGCCATCCCCACCTCCCACCCTCAAACCTACCCTCCTTTTGTTTTGTCCATGTGTCCTTTATACATGTTCCTGGCAACACTTCCCCCTTTTTTTCCCATTATCCCCTCCCACCCACCCCCCCCCCCGCCCCTGTCAGTTTCTTTTTTATTTCAGTGTCTCTGGTTATATTTTGCTTGCTTGTTTGTTTTGTTAATTAGGTTCCACTTATAGGTGAGATCATATGGTATTCCTCTTTCACCGCTTGGCTTATTTCACTTAGCATAATGCTCTCTAGATCCATCCATGCTGTCCCAAAGGGAAAGAGCTCTTCTTTCTTTCTGCTGCATAGTATTCCATTGTGTAATATACCATAGTTTTTTGATCCACTCATTTACTCATGGGCACTTAGGTTGTTTTCAACACTTGGTCATTGTACATTGTGTTGCTACGAACATTGGGATGCATAGGTCCTTTTGAATTGGTGTTTCTGCATTCTCAGGGTATAATCTCAGCAGTGGAATTGCTGAGTCAAAAGGCAGTTCCATTTTTTTTTAAGAAATTCCATACTGTTTTCCACAGTGGCTGCACCAGTCTGCATTCCCACCAACAGTGCACTAGGGTCCCATTTTCTCCACAATCTCACCAGCACTTGTTTGTTGATTTATTTATGATAGCCATTCTAATTAGTGTGAAGTGGTATCACGTTGTGGTTTTAATTTGCATCTCTCTGATGGCTAGCAATGCTGAGCATCAATTCATATGTCTCTGGGCCCTCTGTATGTCCTCCCTGGAGAAGTGTCTGTTGAAGTCCTTTGCCCATTTTTTAATTGGGTTGTTTGTCTTCCTGACATTGAATTGTGTGAGTTCTTTATATATTTTAGAGCTCAAACCCTTGTCCGAGGTGTCATTGACAAATATATTTTCCCATGTGGTTGGTTCCCTTTTTATTTTGCTGATGTTTTAGCTATGCAGAAGCTCTTTAGTTTGATGAAGTCCATTTGTTCATTCTTTCCTTTATGTCCCTTGCTCTAGGGGACATATCTGTGAAAATATTGCTGTATGGAATATCTGAGATTTTCCTGCCTATGTTCTCCTACAGGACTTTTATGGTATCAGGACTTATATATATATATAATATATATATAATATAAATATATAAATATATATATATATATGTCTTTTATCTTGAATTTATTCTGGTTTATGGTATAACTTGGTAGTCGAGTTTCATTTTTTTGCATGTAGCCGTCCAGATCTCCCAATGCCATTTTTTGAAGAGGCTATTTTTACTCCATTTTATGCTTTCCCCCCCTTCATCAAATATTAATTGACTGTAGAGACTTGGGCATATTTCTGGGCTCTCTGTTCTGTTCCATTGATCTATGTGTCTGTTCTTATGCCAGTACCAGGCCATTTTGATTACAGTAGCCTTGTAGTATAGTTTGATATCAAGTATTGTGATCCTTCCACTTTGTTCTTCTTTCTCAAGATTGCTGAGTCTATTCGGGGGTCATTTTTGACTCCATATAAATTTTTGAAATATTTGTTCTAAACCTGTGAAATATGTCATTGGTGTTTTAATAGGGATTGTGTTGAATCTATTACATGATTTTCATTTTTGTATTACAAAATCTTTTTTATTGTTGTTCAAGTACAATTGTCTCCATTTTCCCCTCACAACTCCCCCCACCAGCCATCCCCACCTGCCACCCCTGATCCCACCCTCCCTCCGTTTTGTACATGTGTTCACTATAGATGTTCCTGAAAACCCTTATTACATGATTTTTAAATTCCTTAAATATTCCTAGAATCATCTACTTCTCTCTGTCTTTACACCCCTACCCTAGTCCTAGGTCCATTTCTCTCAGCTGACTTTCTATAGTAACCTGCAAACTGTTCTCACTCTTCTGCTTTTGCCTCCCTATGGTTTATTTTCTACATACCAGCCAGAATGATCTTTTAATGTACATATCATATATCATTCTTTTGCTTTTAAAACTACTTAGTGTCTTTCTGTTGCATGTAGAATAAAGTCCAAGTTTCTTGGTCCATCAGGACCTGTAGGATCTGACTTTATATACAATAGATTTTTTCCTCAAATATATTTATTTACTTTTAGAGAGAGGGCAAGGGAAAGAGAAGGAGCGGGAGAGAAACATCAGTGTGTTGTTGCTTCTCATGCACCCCCACTATGGACCTGACCTGCAACCTGGGAATGTGCCATGACTGGGAATTGAACTGGTGACCCTTGATTTGTAGGCCAGCACTCAGTCCACTGAGCCACACCAGCTAGAGCTCCATACAATAGTTTTATTTAACCTTTAAACAATCTTTTAAGAAGAGTTCTAGTATTACCTATGACATTGCAAGTGAGAAAAATGGAAGCTCAATGAAGTTACTTTACTTGCCCACATAGAAATTAGAGGAGCTAAGAAGCCAGTGCTCTTATCTAATAACCCCTAAACAAAAAAATATAGTGATTAGAACTCAAAAGTCTCACATTGAAGAAATCTTGCAAGGAGGATGGATTTTTGCATTTAAAAGGAAGTGATGCTCTTCTCTACCTGTGGTTCCTTGCAGAATTCTGCAGATAATCAAGCAAGCTGGTCACAAGATGGAGTTTTTTGGGAGGACAGCAAATCTGACAGTGGCCAGCCTGGCTTTGGCTGTCCTGCAGATGGACCACACATTTGAAGGCATGGTCTTCAGCATTCGCTCCTATGAAAAAGGTACAGATCCTGAGGTGAGTGTAGCTGAGAGCCAATCAGCCAAGCATTATTCCAACTCTTCATTAATTTACTCCTTGGGAGGGAGAAGGGGTATTTTTTTTAAGATTTTAATCTTTAGGGTACCTTATGAAAATACAAATGTCCCAGGGAAGGTTCATATATAATGTTCAGTAGGCTAACACCTTGGTTGGAATAGTGTCCATGAGATGTGCAATGATACCTCCTTTGGTTCCATGACCTGAAGTCATCTCAAATGTCATTTTATTATTTGGTACCATTTATGGAGTGCTTATTATATATTGTTCCCATCTGTCTCCTTTGTACAGATAAGGAAACAGAGAAGTTAAGTAACTTGCCCAAGGATTCACAGTCTAATGGATGAGCTGAGATTCAAATTTATGTCTGGCTAGATTATAGTCTGGGCCCTTTCCACCACACCACATTACCTCAGCCTTTGTTGTGCCATAGTCTGTCAACACCCGTTCCAAACAATTTGAGAGAACAGCATTTTTTAAACTTATCGTTAAAAAATTATAAAATTTACATATGGGGAAATGCACAAATTCTAAGTATACACTCTCTGAATTTTGACAAATGTGTGTATCTGTGTAACTTATACTCCATCATGTTATGGAACATTACTATAACTCCTAAAAGTCCCCTCATGCTTCTTCCCAGTCAATCCATGAAACTAATATCTCCATTGGCAGCCACTATTCTGATATTTTTCCACTATAGTTTTGCCTGTTCTAGAACTTTATATAAGTGGAATCATGTAATATGTACTGTTTTGAGGGGATATTTCCACTCTTTAAAATTTTTATTTTTAAATTACAGTTCATATTCAGTATTATTTTGTATTGGTTTTAGTTATATAGCATAGTGGCTAGACAATCATACACTTTGCAAAGTGTTCCCCAGGATAGTTCAAGAGCCCATATGGCGCTCTACATAATTATTACAATTAATATGTACTGTCATGTATAAGGCTTCTTTCATGTAACATACTGTTTTTTGTTGTTGTTGAGATTCATTCTTTTGTTTCTGTTATTTATTCTTTCTATTGCTGGATAATATTCCATTGTATGGATATACTAGAGATTCTTTGTCTCTTCTCCTGTTGATGGACATTTGGATTGTTTCCATTTTTGGCTATTAAGAGTAATGCTGCCTTGAACATTCATGCAAAAGTCTTTGTTCAGACATACATTTTCATATATGTTGAATACATCCTAAAAATGGAATTGCTGGCTCATACGATGTATGTTTAAATTTGTAAGAACACAAGATATTGTTTTCTAAAGTGGTCAATGATGTGCAGTGATTTTTCATGTTGGTATTAGCCATTTGTATATCTTCTTTGGTGAGGTATCTCTTAAAATCATTTGCCCATTTTTAAATTGGGTTGTTTATCTTCTTATTATTGAGTTGTAAGCATTTTTTATATACTTTGGATAAAAGTCCAGATATATGTTTTGAAAATATTTTATCTTTGGCTTCTCTATTTCCACAATGATGTCTTTTGATGAGCAAAAGTTTTAATTTTGATGTGATATATAATTTATCATTTTTCTTTATGAATAACAATACATATCACTTGTCCAATAAATCACCTTTAAGTGGAAGGTAATCAACTAAACAAACAAGCAAGCAAAATAGAACCAGAGACATTGAAATTAAGAACAATCTGACAATAACCAGAGGGGAGGTGGGAGGGGATAATGGGGGAAGGGAGGAAGGGTTTTCAGGAACAACTATAAAGGATACATGGACAAAACCAAGGTAGGGTGGGATCAGGGGAAGGAGGTGGGGATTGCTGGGGTTGGGGGGAGATTTTTGGGAAAAATGGAGATAACCGTATTTGAATAACAGTAAAAAAATTTAAAGAATCATTTTGGCTGTTTTAAAAAAAGAAATCTTTGCCTACCAGCAGTTCATGAAGATATTCTCCTATACCTTCCTTTAAAAGATCTATGGTTTTAGCTTTTATGGTTAAGACTACAATTCTAATTAATTGAATTAAATTCAGTGTATGGTGTAGTATATGGTTTGGAGTTCATTTTGTTCATTATAGGTATCTAGTTATTCCAGTACCACTTATTGAAGACTTTTCTTTCCCATTGGCTTGCTTTGGCACCTTTAAAAAATTAAATACTTGTGTAAATGTTTGAATTTCTTTACCATTCTTTCTCTCTTTTCCTCTTGGGACTCAAATTACATGTATGTAAGAAAGAAGATAAAGGGTCATGAAAGAATATATATATAAAGGGCACATGGACAGAGCCCAAGGGGGTAGGATTGAGAGTGGGAGGTGGGTGTACGTGGGGTGGGGGAAAGTAGTGGTAGGGAAATGGAGACAACTGTACTTGAACGACAATAAAAAATGTTAAAAACATATTTTTTGATGCTACCCAAAAGGTCCCTGAGATTCTGTTCATGTTTTAATCATTTTACTATCTATTATTCTGATAGCATAATTTCTATTGAATTATCTTCAGGTTCCTTGACCTCCGTCATCTTCATGTTACTACTGAACCCTTCCAGTGCAATTTAAAAAATTTTAAGTATATTTTATTGATTATGCTATTACAATTGTCCTAATTTTTTCTCCCTTTTATCACACTCCTCCGTGCACCACTGCCTCTACCCTCCAGCATCCCCCCAACTTTGTTCATGTCCATGGGTCATACATATAAGTTCTTTGGCTTCTCTATTGCACTTACTATTCTTAACCTCTCCCTGTCTATTTTGTACCTTCCATTTTTGCTTCTTATTCCCTTTACCTTTTCTCCCCCTTCTTCCCCTCCCTCCACTGACACCCCTCCATATGATTCCCATTTCTGTGACTTTGTCCGTTTTAGTTGTTTGCTTAGTTTTTGTTTTTATTTTTTAGGGTCAGTTGTTGATTTGTGAGTTTATTGTCATTTTACTGTTCATAGTTTTGATGTTCTTTTTCTTAGGTAAGTCCCTTGAACATTTCATGTAAAAGGGCTTGTTGATGATGAACTCCTTTAACTTTACCTTATCTGGGAAACACTTTATCTGCCCTTCCATTCTAAATGATAACTTTGCTGGACAGAGTAATCTTGGATGTAAGTCCTTGCCTTTCATGCCTTTGAATACTTCTTTCCAGCCCCTTCTTGCCTGCAAGATTTCTTTTGAGAGATCAGCTGATAGCCTTATGGGAGCTCCTTTGTAGGTAACTCCCTCCTTTCTTCTTGCTGCTTTTATTTCCAGTTCTAGAATTCACACATTTTTGTTTTTCTGCTTGTGTTCCTCTGCTGTTACTTCCCCTTTTTGTATTAATTGCAAGTACATTTTATTTTAAATACTTGAACATAGTTATATTAGCTGCTTTAAAATTATTGTCTATTTATTTTTTGCATGTCTTATTTTTTAAATTTTTTTTGTTGTTGAAGTCCAGTTGTCTCCATTTCCCCTGCATCACTTTCCTGTTCCCCACCCACCCCTAGCTCCCCCCCTCAATCCTACCCCCTTTTGTATCTGTTATTTCTAATATCTGAGTCATCTCAAAGTTGATTTACATTGATTGTTTATCATCGAAAATGAATCACATTTGTTTTTTCTTCACATATTGAGTAATATGAGATTATGTCCTGCATATTGTGAGTGTTCTGTTGTGGAAACTCTGTATTCTACTATATTCCTCTGAAAACTATTGATTTTTGTCATATCAATTAATTTGATTGGAATCAAACTGTAGATTTCATCTCTTGGGGAGCATCTCAAATCTTAGTTATTCTTACTTGAAGTTTGTCGTATTCATATGTGGTTCAGAGGTCAGGCAGACTTCATACTCAGAATGTTGACTCTTCCTTTTCTAGGTCTCTTTACTATAGGATTTACCTTTGACCTTCCAGTGACTGTGGTTGTCTAGACCTTTGTTTTTGGGTTCTTCATGCAAGAGAGACTGCAGAATTTCTATCAAAATTTTGAGCATCCTTAACAGTATTAGTTTCAGCCTGCCAGCAGTCTAAAAGCAATAAAAACAGTTAATCCACCTTGTCATGTTATCTTTTCCCAAGTGTCTATTATTCTCCAGAATCTGCCTGCTTTTGTTTATTTTCCAGTGCCTTCAAGTCATGGTCACTTGGTATAGTTGTTATATACAAGAGGGTCAAGTCTATCAGGAACTATTCAGCCATACTGGAAGCAGATGTTGACTTCCCATTGCTCTTTGGTTACATACAGGATATTTTATTATAGATCTTGATTAAGAAATGAGCCAACGAACCCCCATCACATTCTTGGTACCAAAGTGCTTACATGTTGAAGCTAAATTATAACCCCTCTATGGTACTTGACTGCCATAGTAGAGTTCATTTGTGCCAGAAGAACTATATGGCTATTGGGGTCACAAGTCATTGTTGGATATGTCATAAACTTTCTTTTCTCCATGATGCACCCAGCTAGATAACAGTTCCTTTAGAGGCAGCATAGATAATGGAGAAAATGTGGGACAAAATCACACATCTTTGTACAACTATATCCCAGCTATGTGACCACAAGCAAACCACTTAACCTCTCTGAGCCCCCATTTCCTGATAGCATAATACAGCATACTTTTTGGAGCTGACAGAGGGATTGAATGAGAGACTACACATAAGGATGTCCATATACTTTGCTTTGTCTAGGAGATTCCAGGTTTACAACTGTGGTCCTAGTGTAATTATTGGTAAAACCCCTTTCACTGTCAAAAATGTTCCAGTACTTATCAAACATTTTTACCAGTCAAATTAGAAAATTCTTCTGATAGTGAGCCTCTAAAAGAATTCCTAAGGCCTAACACCTCCCATCCTGCCCCAGCTTTTTAAAGGATTTTATTTATTTACTTTTAGAGAGGGGGAAGGAGGGAAAAAGAGAGGGAGAGAAACATCAATGTGTGGTTGCCTCTCACACACTTCCTACTGGGGATCTGGCCTACAACCCAGGCATGTACCCTGGCTGGGTATCAAACCAGCAACCCTTTGGTTTGCAGGCCAGCACTTAATCCACTGAGCCACACCAACCAGTGCTCTGTCCCAGTTTTTAATGAAAGTGTTGCTGAATAAACTATGGAGCAAGAGCCTAATGCCATTGTATTGGTTTTTGGTTGTTCTGTTTTTTTTTTTTCCTCTTTCAGAACTATATGGAAGAAGGCTGGCCTTTATTCCTGAGAATCATGACAAATCACCTAATTTGTCATTCCTCTTTCCACTTCTATAAATACCTAGGTGGAAGCAGATCAAAGGGAAAGAAACTGAAGGATATGTTTACAAAAGAAGGGATAGTGTGTATGTGTTTATATCTATGTGTATTGGGTCATGTCTTAGCCTGTGATCTGAATGTGCATGTGTGCATGTGTGTGTGTCTCTGTGTAAAATATATAGCATTGCTTATGGAGCTAGTTCTCATCCTTTAGCCCTCCAGGTGATACTCTAAGGCTGAGGTTGGGCTGGAGTGGGAGGTGGAGAGGACTTTAAGCTCATGGGTGATGACTCTAGTTTTTATTTCTTGGCTTTTCTTGGCAGATTTACTTAAGTGAAATCCCTCTGAGGAGGGTTTTGGCTTCCATATATTTGCCCAAATCACTGAGGGAAAGAATGCCTCTTAATAACATACAGACCATCTTGTTTAATTTCTTTGGCCAAACTTCACTCTTTCAGGTAAGTTCTTGCCTTTGATAACTATCATGTACTGACATATAGTGACTCATAGTAATTATTAACTGTTGCTATTTTCATGGCATTCTGTTTATTTTAGAATATGCTTTCTGATTTATTCTACAAGTCTCCTGTCACAACCCCTGGCCCTCTACATGAATCAACATCTACTTTCATGATATTCCCCAGTTTTTTAAATTTTCACAGCTTTTCAGCTTTGGAAGGGACCTTAAGGATTATCTGGTTACCAAACAGAAGCCTCATGATGTTTGAAAGCAAGAAAAGAACAGCAAGTTCTGATGAAATGCTGCTTCAGCTTGTCAGTGCTTACCTCCCAAATCTCCTTGGCTTCCTGAAAGCCAACATGCCCACTCTCCCAGGCTAATTTATTTGAAGCTGAGTAGTGTCCAGAAGGACAGTTGCTTGCAGGAATTTGTTGCTCCTTCTCACCACCTCCACAGCACCTTCTCAGAGGGCTCCAGCCCTAACCCATTACTAAAACAGAGAGGCAGTATAATGTGGTGGTTAACAGGATGGACTGTGGGGCCAAACTGGGTGCATTTTTTTATTGTTTATTTATTTTTATTTTAATCATTGTTCAAGTACAGTTTTTTTTGTCATTTACTCCCATCCCATCCCAGCCCACCCACCCATCCCTCCCCACCTCCCTCCCACTTCCACCCGCTCCTAGTTTTTGCCCATGTGTCCTTTATATTTGTTTCTGTAAACCCTTCCCATTCTCCCCTGAAATTCCCCTGAGATTCCCTCCCTTCTCCCCTCTAGTTACTGTCAGCCTGTTCTTTATTTCAGTGTCTTTGCTTATATTTTGCTTGTTTGTTTGTTTTGTTGCTTAGGTTCCTGTTAAAGGTGAGATCATATGGTATTTGTCTTTCCCCACCTGGCTTATTTCACTTAGCATAATGCTTTCCAGCTCCATCCATGTTGTTCCAAAGGGTAGGAGCTCCTTCTTTCTTTTTGCTGCATAGAATTCCATTGTGTAAATGGACCATAGTTTTTTGATCCATTCATTTACTGATGGGCACCTAGGTTGCTTCCAACACTTGGCTATTGTAAATTGTGCTTCTATGAACATTGGGGTGCATAGGTTCTTTTGGATTGGTGTTTCAGGGTTTTTAGGATATAATCATAGCAGTGGAATTGCTGGGTCAAAAGGTGGATCCATTTTTAGTTTTCTGAGAAAGTTCCATACTGTTTTCCATGGTGGTTGTACCAGTCTGCAATTCCACCAACAGTGCTCTAGGGTCCCCTTTTCTCCACAACCTCTCCAACATTTGTTGTTTGTTGCTTTGTTTATGATGGCCATTCTGACTGGTGTGAAGTGGTATCTCATTGTGGTTTTAATTTGCATCTCTCTGATAGCTAGCGATATTGAGCATTTTTTCATGTGTCTCTTGATCCTCTGTGTGTCCTCCTTGGCAAAGTGTCTGTTCAAGTCCTTTGCCCATTTTTTAATAGGGTTGCTTGTCTTCTTAGAGTCGAGTCATGTAAGTTCTTTATATATTTTGGAGATTAAACCCTTGTCTGAGGTATCATTGGCAAATATGTTTTCCCATACAGTTGGTTCTCTTTTTATTTTAATACTGTTTTCTTTAGCCGTGCAGAAGCTTTTTATTTTAATGAGATCCCATTTGTTTATTCTTTCCTTTATGTCCTTTGCTCTAGGGGACATGTCAGTAAAAATGTTTCTGCATGAAATATCTGAGATTTCCCTGTCTATGTTCTCCTCTAGGACTTTAATGGTGTCACAGCTTATATTTAAATCTTTTATCCACCTTGAGTTTATTTTTGTGTATGGTGTAAGTTGGTGTTCAAGTTTCATTTTTTTTTTGCATGTAGCTGTCCAGTTCTCCCAACACCATTTGTTGAAGAGGCTATTTTTACTCCATTTTATGTTGCTGCCCCGTTTGTCAAATATTAATTGACTGTAGAGACTTGGGTTTATTTTTGGGCTCTCTGTTCTGTTCCATTGGTCCACGTGCCTGCCAAACTGGCTACATATAAAGGTGGTTATGCTGTAATCCACCTGTGTGACCTTGGACAAGTTACTCAACCTCTATGTGCCTTAGATTCTTCCTATGTAAAACAAGATAATAGTAAGTACCACACTGGGCTGTTGAAGTATCAAAGGAGTTAATATATAGCCAAGGCTGGTATGGCTCAGTTGGCTGGGCATCATCCCATAAACTGAAAGGTCATCAGTTCTATTCCCGGGGTGGGGCACATGCCTGAGTTGTGGGTTTGGTCCCTGGTCAGGGCATGTGTGGGAGAGGCAATTGATCAATTTCTCTCTTACATCATGTTTCTATTCCTTACTTTCTCCCTCCTTTCCCTTCTCTCTAAAAATAAATACATAAAAATTTTAAAAAAGAATAAGTATATATAAAGTACCTAGAATATTGCCTGGTACATAATAAGCACCATGTAAGATTTTGGATTGCTATTATTATTTTCCTTTGTTGGTGCTCTGCCTATCAAACGTTTCATTCCTTTAGCCTGCTCTTTCTCATGTAGTTGTTAGGAAGAAAGCAATCAGAGTTTGCATGAAGTTGTTGATGATGATGCCTATTAATTGTTAATATTTACACTCATTATCTCATGTACTTCTCACAAGAAACTGAGACTCAAAGAATGCTGTGGTCTGAATATTTGTGCCCCCCCCCCACCAAATTCTTGAGTTAAAATCCTAACCCTCCAAGGTAATGGTATTAGAAAGGAGGTGTTTGGAAGGTGATTAGGTCATGACAATGAAGCCCTCGTGAATGGGATTAGTGTCCTTATAAAAGAGGCCTTAGAGAGCTCTATTGCCTCTTCCAGAGGACACAGCCAGAAGGTGCCATCTATGAATAAAAAAGTGGATTTTCACCAGAACCCGACCATATGGTCCCTCTGATCTTAGAATTCCAGTCTCTAGAATAGATAACTAGAATAGATATGAAAAATAGATTTCTGTTGCTTATAAGCTACTTAGTCTGTAATATTTTGTTATAGCAGCCTGAACAAACTAAGACAAAGAGGTTAAGTGATTTTGCCCAAGGTCACATAGCTAGGAAGTAGCAAAGCTAGGATTCAAACCCAGGCTATCTGACTCCACAGTATAAATATTTAATAGGTCAGTGCATTAACTTGCCCATGTGTGTTTGCATTTTCTAATGGGGCTATCAAAAGGAATGAATTTCTAATGGTCAAATATTTACAGAGCTATTTTGGGATTTGGGGGAAAGTTGTTCTGGGCCAACTTAAACATACCCATACCACATACCAACTCAAATATACTACATCGTCTCCAGCTGTGTGTGTAGGATGTTCTCTTTTACGGGAATTCTCTAGCCAGTCCTCCCTATATATCTAATTCTATTTATTCCTGTGGGCTTATCTCAAATAACATTCCAGATGCCTCCCTGAAGTTTGTGAGTCCCTGCTCTCCTCCACACCCCCTACTTTTTTCTTATTTTATACTTCCGCCTAGTTTTCAAAGTAGGCTATGTCATACATCATGGCTCAGACATGTTTTATTTTCATGGTACCCAGCACAGGGGTAGGTACTCAACATGTTTTCAGTACATATATATTTATTAGACTTTTTAATAGAAAAAATTAAGTTGAAGACAGAAGAAGCCAGTTGATGAAAAAAAGTTAATAAAAATTAAGAATGTGATTCATAGCTCTCTGACCATTTTGGTAGGCTTGTAATTTCTCTGTATCATCTGAAATGCCATTATTTTGGTAATTTTCTCTTTATTTAGAGGGTTGTGCTTGTGTCATAGAATAAAAGATAAACTTGTTTTTCACAGATTTCACACCTAATAAGTAATTTTAATTCAGTAACACCTTCCATTTAAAGGGATTAAATATCTTTGCCAAAATTGGCCTACAGACATCATAGTGCCAGATGAAGGATTAGACCTATTCTGTCATCAAAATCAGAGCAGGAAAGGCGCTTATATCTCATAATGTCTCATCTACTCATTTTACCAATGAGGAAACTGAGACCCAGATAGGGAAAGGGACCTGCTGAAAGTGACAGAATTTATTCATTTGTTCATGCAGTTATTTATCAGATAGCAAATATTTATTGAATTCCTACTATGTGTCTTGCATGGTGCTGGATGCTGGGGATACAATGGTGACCAAGAGAGATATGATGCCTACCTTCATGGTACTTACAGTATAATGGGGGAGAAGAGAGACCTGAAGGTTCTAACAATGAAAGGGGTGACCCAAGAGTGGGACCTGTACCACTGGTTGCTGGGGAGTGAGTACTTACAAGAGGTGCCACCTTTTAACTACCATTTCCTTGAGTCCTGACTCTTACAGACTTGCTTTCTCACTGCATCTTTTAACATATTCTGATCAAAATCTTAACTGTCACTACAACATATTACCGAAAAAAATTTAAGACACTACTCTTGGAGAACATGTATCTCCTCCTCTACTCCTCCACTAGTGGCAGTTTTCAGGTGCAGGGACAAACCACTAGGCAAAGTACAGTATGGCACAGGGACTCTGGGAGCATAGAGGATGGCACCTACCCTTGTCTGGGAGATCAGGGAAGGCCTAGTGTAAGACAGGTGTCAGCTGAGACCTCAGGTTGAGCGGACGTAGAAGATGAATGACAGTGAGGAAAAAGAGGAGAAGTGTTTCAGGCAGAGAAAATGGCTTCTGTAAAGGTGCAGAAGGGAAATAGGTAAAACTTGAATGTAGAGCTCATAGGATGAAAGACTTAGAAATGAGTTAGTTCCTTTCCTTGCACAGCAACTATTTCATATGTAAGGGAAATAAAGCCAGAGAGCAGGTTAATTAAGTCCTGGGTCATTGTGTTTCTTCTCCTTTGGCCTTTCAACTATAGAAAACTGTATGTCTTGAACTAAATTGGGAGGGTTGTTAGATATCGTCTGGTTCACCTTCCTTTGTGTCACAATGTCCCATAAAGGGGAAAGGACTTTGAAAGAACAGGGTGGCTTGTACTCACACTTGATCTTTTGACTGTCAGTGAAGGCCTTTTCAATCATATCCACCTCTACATCAGGCTACCTTGAGAAATTCCTTTGTGAAGGGAGCCCTGAAACATTAGGCTGGCTTTAGATGAACAGAATTGGTCAGAAACAGGAAATGGGTAGCTTCTTTTTGGAGACGTAGGGTGAGTTCACAAGGACTCAGTTCTCAGTGGCTGCATGACTCAGAAATATGAAGTTCTGGCATCTTCTAGAAGTGGCCCAGGAGGCTCCTCAAGGGACATCATCTGGGTTCACCTCCTCTAAGCTTTCTTGACAAATCCTCAGAGGATTTGCTTCCTCTCCCTCCTGTCTTACTCCTGCCCTACATTTCATCTCTTCATTTGTGCCCAGAAGAGGCAGTCTTCAGCTGCCTTGCCTCCTGAAACCTTGACATTAGCCCTGTTAATTATCAAGCTTCACATCTCAAGGGCTACATTCTAGTTTATTTCCTTTGAACCAACCTTTGTTAAGCATCTCACTAGCTGTGTGAATTTTGTTCAAGTTCTTGAGCCTCCACAAGCCCCAGTTTAACTGGAAACAGCTATATTTTTCCAGTGAGCACTGAAGATAGTGCATAAGGAAGGCACCTAACAAAGTAACCGACTCATTGTGGGTACAAAATAAAATACATACTATGAGCTAGACCATGTGGGAGACAACAGGACACATAATGCCTTTGCTCTGACCTCAGAGTTTATGGCCTCCTCGTGAGGGGATAAATTTCCTCAAAGACTTGTTCCAAGCTAGATGTTGATCAACCTGCTTCCATCTCCAGTGCAGATGGAACAGGAAGTAGCTTAAAACTAAGTCATGATGGATTTATTTTCCTTATAAAGAGGGAGTCCCTAAAAGTAAGGATGGTTGAGGGTTAGAAGTGGGATAAGTTGCAACAGGTCAGGATCCAGTGAGTTATCAAAGTAGGAAATAGTTTTGTTCGGTTGCAAGTGCAGTACTAAGTAGCAGGCACAAAACCAATGCATGTTAGATAGATATTTGGATGTAGATGCGTGTGTGGATTAATAAATTGTTCTAGCTTGGTATAATTGAGATCTTATGTGAAGACAGGAGATGAGCTAAATAACCTCTTAAAAATTCTTTCTTGTGATTTTATTTTCCATATCACTGATTATTAACATGCAAAATATTTAAAAATTTAGGACCTGAAATCCTCTTCCTTATGTTTCATCTCGTAGATGAAAAATGTCACTAAAGCATTAACCACATATGTTGTGAGTGCCAGCATTTCAGATACAACCATTCAAAACTTGGCTGACCCAGTAGTTATTACTCTACAGCATATTGAAGGAAACCAGGTAACATATCTATTTTCACCTCAGAATTAAAAGGCCTCAGAACCCCTCAGTGACTTTCCCATTAAAAATAATTGTCTAGTTAACAGATGTGATGTAAGACTTAATGAAGATTATTCCATTCCAAGCAGCTGAGGTGTGTTGTAACTGGAACTTCTAGATATAATGCCTTAGCCTAACAGGATAACTAATGGTGTGCTTCTAGCACTGTGACAGGTTGGCAGAGGAGTGACTAGAGGCAGGTGGATTTTTGGTTGTCCCACCACACTAAATGGTATTTAGTTCCATTTATTTTTGAGTGAGGCAAACAACAATTCAAAATAATTGAACATTTTATGCTCTGAATTTCCATGAAGAGCATTAAAATATGTGTTAATTATCACTGAAGGTTTAAAACCATAGTCATATGGCAACAAATAAGGTATTACTAAAAGATCAAATTTAGCCATAGTGTAAGAATAAACTACTATTACATTCTTTGATGTTAATGTATGTCCAGTGTGAAGTCTTAATAGCTCTCTTTACTCCCAATCCAAAAGATGAAATGGTACAGCATATTTTTTACAGCTCTTAATTGTAGAAGAAAGAATGGGAGAGGGAATTTTTAAAAAGCAGATCTAAATGAAACATGTTAGGTGGGTAAGATCTCAATTCTACTGGGGACACAGCTCTCCAACATACCCCAATAAACAATTTCTCATTGTCACTTGTCCTGGAGATCACAGGGCCTGGTGAGTTCTCAGGAGTATTCATTGGCCTAATAAGGAAGCAGTTCAACCTTGTATCAATAAGGCTTCAATTCACCTGTGAGCTCCAAATTAAAAAGTTTCACAAGCAACACTTACCACTCATCAGATCTGCACCGACCATCCACATGCTCCTCCTGGGCCTCACACCAGGAGGGTGTGAAAAATTCCTTTGTTACCAAATATTTTAAAGGACACACATTAGATCACCATGCAATATAGCATGCTGTTTTCTTGCTTGTAAATCCCAGGTTACCTGGGGTTACTCTTAAAACCAACTCACAAATGGTCCACGTGTAGGTGTGTGCCTAGTGTTCAAAAAAACTTTGAGAAAAGCCACTTGTGTGTAGTTGTCATTGTGTGGTAACTATCACAAGGAAAGGTGTTTACCTCTGATTTTTCTTTTTTTCTAGAATTATGATCAAGTTCACTGTGTCTTTTGGGACTTTGGTAATAACAGTAAGTATTTTTCTTAGCAAACTTTGTCTTTGGCTTTCAATGAGACTTTGCCTCTGACCATTTTCCTGTTTGGCAACTGAAAGGAGGGAGTCACACGGAAGCTACTGTCTTATCAGACCTGACAGAGAACTCTTATTGACCAAGATACAAATGAGTTTTATAAACTATTAGGGTATTGGGGTTTTAAAAATACTTTCTTTTTGATAAGAGACTTATTTAGGAGATCAGAAAATCACACAACACAGGGGTAGGCAAAGTTAGAAGAAAGAAGGCTAGAGGATCCAGTGCAGAATAACCTCAAGCTGTTTGAAGAAAGTTGAAGAATGAACACCTGACTGTCTGTGTTTTCCCATGTCTTCTGTAGGAGATTTACAACATCTACTACTAGTTCCTTCTCTTATTTTCCTCATCTCTTCTGGCCTGATTGTATGTCCTTGGGCAGTCCATTTACTCTCTTGGGGCTCCAATCTTTTTATCTTTTCATTGAGGGGATAAGACTTCCTGCTTGATTTCTAAGGGCCCTTCCCAATTGGCTAGGTATGAGTGTTTGGGGACAGTAAGAGAAGAGGATAGGAATAAGATGTTGAATGGGTCCATCCTAAACTTGCCACCTCCATTGAAATCTTCAGGGATATTGCCAAATCTCAGAAAACTTCCACACAGAATCAATTTCCCCTGGAATGCCAGGAATGGCCATGTGACCAGTCCTTCTACCTGTGGATAACTCTTCCTGGAGCTTGTCCTTTTTCAGTATTCTTGGAATTCTGAGAGAAAAGAGAAAGTCTCTTCCTACTGAAGTCCTTGGGATGTGGGAATACTACTCTTTTCCTACAACAGAAATAGCATTATCCTTTCCTGTGCCCTCCAAGTCTCCCAGGATAAGAATCCTGAAAAATGATGAGCTGTGTCCCCAACAGCATCAATAATTTGATCTACGTGTTCATTAATGCCAGTTCCTGGGCTCCACCCTTTGCCCCCACCCCTCTGTACATGAATCCAGAACCTCTGGCATCTATGGAATTATCCTGGATGGAAAAATGTTAATCATCCTGGGCTGCCTGCCCTAGAATAACCTCTTTGGTCTGGTGCTACCCTGGAGGTTTTACTCTAAATCTGGTCTACTACCCAAGATCTACAGGTTATGGAGTTTTGAAGGTAGTTGCTAGAACCCTGAATATGCTCAGGAGGGAGAAACTAGGCAGGTGTTAAGTACACCAGAGGCTATATTGGCCCTAAGGAACTTCAGACCATGATCTGGCTTGAATGTAAAGCACTTGATATCATTTGAATTCTGGGTTGAACTGGTAGTTTCAGATGTTTATTCTAGTCTCACTGAGTAGGCCCAAGTGTCAGCTTATATTCCATAACTCATGTCCTTCAAAGAGTTTAAGATCTACCTGTTTCCTGTTTGTGCTACTTTAAAAAGTACAGTCCTTACTCCATCACTCCAGCATGATGGCAGGACTGTTGTGCATGATTAGAGTCTGTCATAATCTTTACAAGAACAGGAAAAATGAAAGCCAAGAAGTTATGACACTTATGAAGTCCCCTGAAATCAATTTAGACTTAATTTACTAGACTTACTAGACTTAATTTAATTCCATTGTTCAATTATACTTCTATCTTGCTGACTTAACAAACAATACTAATTATAAGACACATTCAGAAGGTGCATATAATGAAAAGTTAAATATTTCTGAGAAAACAAGAAATGGCTTTGGAATTTCCTTTTGTCTCCTGCAGATGGCCAAGGTGGATGGAATTCATCAGGCTGTAAAGTAAAGGAAATAAATGTGAATTACACAATCTGTCATTGTGATCACCTCACCCATTTTGGAGTCTTAATGGTGAGTTGTATCTTAATCATTCCTTGAGAGAAATTTGACTTTTATTAGATTACAGGTGAGGAATATATTTGTGAACTAAATTATAGAAAAGTGTCATGCAAGGAAAAAAAGCTCACCTGTGTTCACCTAGACTAGAGCAGATGAAAGTAAATATTTATTTTTCTCTTTATAAAACTAATGCCTGCTCCTCAAAATTTAAACATCACAGAAAAGGTTCCTACAACCGCTGCAGGAGATCATCACCTTTAATACATTTATGTATATCATTTCAGAATCTTTTCCTACATGTATATTAAAATATATGTGTTTTATAAAAATGAGATCAAGTAATTTATACTGTTTTTACCACTTGCTTTTCACCTAACAATATATATTGGACACCTTTCAGGAGAATATGTATCCATCTCTTTCCATTTTTAAATGTCTTCATATTATTCCATTGTGTATATTTAACACAATGAATTTAACCAGTCCTCTATGGGTAAGCATTTTAGTTGTTACTGTTTTCTCCATTATAAACAATGGTATAATAACCAGTTTTATTCATTTATCTATCATTGCTGTAAATATTTATGTAGGATAAATTGATGGAAGTATAACTGCTGGAGTATATAGTATAGTAATTAAAATTTTTAATTTTAATGAGTATTGTAAAGTTGTAGTGAAGGAAAGATGTATTTTTTTTATAAAAGTACTTGCAGTAGTTAACCAACAAGGGCAATTCACATACCAAGGCTTAGAGTTTCAGAGTCATTGTTAACTCTTCTATCTCCTTCATTCCCTATCGTCCTCCTTAACATCAAGACTTGCTGAATTTTCCTTCAAAATGGCTCTCAAATATGTTCTTCTCTGCTCACCAATGAGCATTTTCTTAGTTCTCTTCAATTACTTTATTATATGTTATATACTGTTATTTGAATGTGTCATGAATAAGTTGCTTATTCTACTAATGGTAAGCTCATTGAGGGTTGAGGGTCTGTTTTATATTTCTTTATTTTTACCATATTTACTCAGCAAATAAGAGGTACTCTACTGATACTTTTTGAACTGTCAGAATTTTGTTTAGCTCCTTCCAAATTGGTTGGAACATTACCATAGATGTCAAAAGACCAGGGTTCATATTCCAGCTCTGTCACTAAGTACTTATGTGATCTTGGTCATGTTGTTTCACTTGTTTGGGCCTTAGATCTGTCTTCTGAAATGTGAAAGATTGGAGTAGACGAGGATTTCTTAACTTTGCCATTATTGATATTCTTGAGCAAGTCATTGTTTGTTTGAGGGCATTTTTCAGTGCATTGTAGGGTGTTTAGCAGTATCCCTGGCTTCCACCTACTAGATGCCCATAATATCCTCCCCTATGGTGACAAACAAAAATGTCTGCAGACATTGCCAAATGTCCCTAGAAGAGGGACAAAAATTACTTCCAGTTAAGAACTGCCAGACTACTGCCTCTTAACCTTTTATGAGTCATGAATCTCTAAAACCATCTGACAAAAGCTGTGAATCTTCTTTTCAGGACAATGTACACACATACTCACATTATTTTCTATGCCATTTCAGGTCTTTTATTGTCCTCAGGTTAAGAAATCACTGGATTATGTGATCTCTGAGGTCCATTTCATCTCTTAATTTTATGAAAGTTATTTAAGGTCTAAGCAAAAGAAACATTTGTATTTTGATGATCTGTGTAGTATTTTCGGATAATCAGTTCAGATAATGATTCACTTTGCATCCCCAATTCACATCTATTAGTTTCGTTATATTTTAAGTGTAGAACATGTTAATGATAGTAAAACCAAGGACTAAATGTTCTTTCAGTGCTGTTGAAGGCTCTTTATGCCCTGTACACTGTAAGTTGCACTAGGCATATTCAACAAACAATATGCAGTCTTGTCATATACCCACCTACATACTTTAGTTTAAATAATGCTGCATACCCTAAGAACTGCCTGTTATTGAGCACTAGAAATGTTTTACCATAAACTTGCTCTGGAAAATGTATAAAATACAACACATTGCTTTCCCTAGGATTTATCCAGGTCTGCAGTGGATACAGTGAATGAACGGATATTAATGCTTATAACATACACTGGATGTGGAATCTCCTCCATTTTCCTAGGAATTGTGATGATGACATATATAGCTTTTCAGTAAGTTAATAAAATCTTGCTCTAAGTAAATTTAATTTGGTTTGATGGACATTGTTGTTACTTTAACCTTGTAAATTTCATAAAAGGCTCTGATTCATCACAAAAGGAAGAGGTCAGATCCACTAATTATGAAGTGGACAGGTTAAAAAAGGAAACAACCAAGGTTCTTCTAAAATAAAACATTATAATGGAGTTTTTTTAAGCAAGAAGGTCAAGACATAAAAATATTTCTCTAATAAGATACAAAAACACTAATCATAAAAGAAAAAGTTGATAAATTGGACTTCATTAAAATAAAAAAAAATTTAGAAAATTTATTGTTGCTCAGTTACAGTTGTTCTGCTCTTTTCCCCATTGTTTACTGCCACCCTATCACCACCCTACTCCCATAGTCAATTGCCCTTGTTGTCCATGCCCATGAGTCCTCCATCTGTGCTCCTCTGCTTGCCCCTTCCCCTTCATTAAAAATGTCTTTCACCAAAAGACATCATTGCAATAGTGCAAAGTTAAATCATAGATTGGGAGAAGATATTCTTAAGGCATATATTTTACAAAAGACTTATATGCAGAATATATAGAAACTCATGTATCAAAAAGCAAAAGACATGCAATACAATTTAAAAATGCACAAATGACTTGAACAGGTACCTCACACAAGAAGATATCCATGCCAAACTTTAATCTTTACCCAAATGGCTAATAAACATATGGCAAGGTTATCAACATTATTACTTATCAGGGTAATGCTGATTAAAACCACAATTATAGTTCTATACATTCACCAGAATAGCTGAAACTTTAAAAGTTGAAAATAGCAAGTATCAATAAGGGTGTGGGGCAGTTAGGACTCATACATTGCTGGTGGGAATGCAGGAATGGCATAGGCAATTTGGAAAATTCTTTGGCAATACCTACTAAAGATAAATATCATCTAGCCATTGACCCAGAAATATCACTATTAGAGAGAAATGATTATATGTGTCCACCAAAAGATATATATGAGAATATTCACAGCAGCTTCATTCATAGTGGCCAAAAATGGAAAAACCCAATATATATTAACAAGTGACAGATTAATAAATTCTGGTATATTTATAAAATAAAATGCTTCATAGCAGTAAAAAAAAAGGGCCCTGGCCAGGTGGCTCAGTTTGTTGGAGCATTGTCTTATACACCTAAAAGTTGCTCGTTCTATTCCTGGTCAGGGCACATACTTAGGTTGCAGGTTTGATCCCTGGTCAGGGTGCATATGGGAGGCAATCAATCAATATTTCTCTTCTCACATTGATGTTTCTCTCTCTTTCTCTCTCTTCCTCTTTCTATAAAATCAATAATGACATATCCTTGGGTGAGGATTAAAAAAAAAGAATGAGCTACTTCTACACAATGCACCATAATATCTAATTCTCATAGACAGAGTTGAGCAAAGGAAGCAAGTAAGATAAGATGGTTCCATTTACATGAAGTTCCAAGTACAGGCAAAACTAAATCTATGGGGACAGAAGTTACAATATTGCTTACCTTTAATGGAGGGTATTTAATGGGAGAAGGAATGTAGGAGATTTCTGAGATGTTTAAAATATTTTACTTCCTGATCTGGGTGGAGGTTCCTTAGGTATATTCACATGTCAAGATTCATTGAGTTCTTTGTTGTTGGTGTGGGTTGAATGAATACATTTATTATTACTGAAATGCCCTAAAAGTTAACATTAGACTAGTGTCAGTTTTTAAAACTATACATGCTAAAGTGTTATATATAAAAGCATTCTGATATCTTGAAAAAGAGAACAGCCCTCAAATTTCCATCATGTCAAATGGTAATCACATTGGTATGATACAAGTAAAATATTAACAATAAATAAAAAGGGCCCAAGCTATAGGAAATTCCAAGAAAATATTATAATAAAGAATCCTTGGACTGTTGGAGACATATTTTTTCCAGACTCCACTTCCTGTCTCCAAAACATTCATATATAAAAGGCCCATAAAAATTAATGAAAATGAAGCTATACCCCAAGAAATTATTTTCCTTAGAATTAGGTTAGAGTAATGCTCACTTGTTTTATAATTTTTTATTATTTTTAAACTTTTTAAAATTGTTGTTCAAGTACAGTTGTCTACATTCCCCCCCCCCAGCATCCCCCCCCCCGACAGCCATCCCCACTTCCCACCCTTGATCCTACCCTCCTTTGGTTTTGTCCATATGTCATTTATAGATGTTCCTGAAATTTATGTATTTCACTATTTGTCACAATTAAAAAACTCCCACAAACACCAGATGAAAACTGTAAAATTTAAATCAATAAATATTTAAAAGAAATTGAAAAAGAATGAAAGGAAAATGTGTATTTTTCTAAAATACAGGGTCACTTTTCACAAAGTACAATTGTAATCATGTAGTGAAATTTAAGGTCATATTTCCATGATGCCAAATGTCTGGATCTTTGGAAATATTGAAGTAACTACTTGAAATGGTTTACATAGTCACCTTGCTATTTGGTCATATGTAGATACAGCCTTGAGTCTGAAGAAGGAGTGATAATAGAATTGTATATCAAGTATATTCCTTCCCTTTTTCTTTCCCAAAAAGTAAAAGAAGAAAAGGAGACTGCTTAGTTGATAGAAGCTATTATTAATCCTGTTAATAAAAGTCATTATACTTAGGATACTTTGACTCAACTTAGAAAGAAGGCGGGGGACTCTAAAATTCAGTACATGTAAGGTGATAAGAGTAATTTAGTTTTAATAGGCAGTTTTCATTCTGTCACTTATTATGCAGATAGGATGTAGCAAGTCTTGATTAAAAACAGAGACCCCACTTAACTAAACATATCCCTTTTCTTTTAGCAAACTTCGAAAAGATCATCCTTCCAAAATCCTGATCAATTTGTGTACCGCACTACTGATGCTAAACCTGGTATTTCTGGTCAATTCTTGGTCATCATTTCAGACAGAGGGACTTTGTATTACAGCAGCAGTGGTGCTTCATTACTTCCTGCTTGTTTCTTTGACATGGATGGGCCTGGAGGCGGTCCACATGTATTTTGCTCTAGTTAAAGTCTTCAACATATACACTCCCAATTATATCCTTAAATTTTGCCTAGTTGGTTGGGGTAAGTATGCTGCCATTGTCCTCGGTGCCTCTGTTTTAAGACTGTGTATCTTTAGTTCTAATTCTGGCTCCATTAGACAAATTATTTGGGGTCAAATTCTGTTATAATCATAGACAAGGAATTAAGATTGCCTCACTGAAGTTTGGGTGTACATCTCTTTTTTTGCCTATGTTGATCTAGAAATTCAACTTCTAACCTTCATGATGAGGAATCAGTCTGCAAATATTTAGTGAGCACCTGCTTGTGTATAGGCTATTTGCTGATCTATACTAGTGACCTGTCTGATTTTATCCTTCCCTTTATGGAAGTCACAATCCCAACAAGAACTTACTTATACAGCACTTACATGTGCTAGAAACTGTTCTAAGTGCTTTACATACTTATTTAATCCTCACAAAATCTCTATGGAAAATATCCCATTATTATTCCCATTTAATAGATTAAGACAGTGAGCCACAGAGGGATTAGGTAATTTGCCAAAACTCACACAACCAGTTACTAACTGGAAGAACTGGGATTTGAACCAGGGAGGCTGTCTTCACAGTTTGGATTTTGACCTCTGTGATATCATATTGCCTAAGGAATAAAAAAGGACTTGCAATGTATGAAAAAATGCTCTATCAGATATGCTCTCATTCTTACCATACCTCATGACTATCACCATCACTGCTGCCCTCTGGAAGAAGCCAGGAATGGAATTCAGCATGAAAATTTCCTAAATTAAATGTCATTTTATTGGTTTGTTTTCCTGTATTTCTAACTGACAGGGTCAGTTCATCTAATTTCTCCCCTCCCCCTTTCCATATTTGAAACAGATTTTTAATTCAGAAAATGTGTTGGACACATAGGAGATGTATATTAAGTGTTATGCATAGAATACATAGGGACACAGATTTTATTTTCCACTGCCTTTCTAAAGACAATAGCTTTTCAATTAGCTACTCATCCTTTTAATGAGTTCATTGACATAGTACAAGCTTTCAGCTGGATACAATCAGTGCTCTCATCTCTGCTAACGTGAGAAGCAGAGATAGGCAAACGCTAAACAAATGAAAATCTAAAAAAATGTTTTAGTACACTTTGGAATCTGTCAGAAACAGAGCCAAAAGTAGTCAATACTCTCTCATTTACACCTTGCAGCCTTTATCTGTAAACTGTCAACTGGAAGATTGAAAAAGTTGTGAAAGAGGCTTCACAAATAATCCAAAGAGCTGAAAATACACATATGGCTAATAGTGAAGGGGCTGTAAATAGCACTCAGGACTGGCCTTCCTTCTCGCTCATCATCATTCACTTTCAACTTCCTCTTCAGACCCTTCCTTTTTCGGATCCTTGCTCCTTAAATGTTGGTGTTCCCCAGGGCTGACTTCTTACCACTTTGATCATCTTCCACAGCCACTTCCTAGGGTACTCAAGAGTTAGGAAAGGCTAAGGCTTGATACTTTGGAGGCAGGAAAAACTTGGGTAATGTCAAGTACATACACAAGCTCAAGCAACTGTTGTATTCTGTTTATCACCTACATTGATAGTGAAATGAAGAGTAGCTAAAGGTGTTAGTTCCCAAGACTTTGCCTCACACAATGAAGAATGATACCAAGACAAAAGGGAACAGATGGCTGCCACATGAGTTGCGGGATTCCTTGTTGTTGAATAGCCAGCACTAAACTGAAGCTATGCCATACAATATTCTGCAGCTCTGTTTTGAGGAGGCAGGGTGCAAAGCTCCACATCTCCTCAGAACTTGGAGGCAATGAAAGACTACCAGAGGAAATAGAGAGGAGAGCAGGCGATATCCTTGGAGCACCTCATAGGCCTGCTGCCTTCTTGAATTTGTGGAAGATCAGAAGCCATTCCATCAAAATTCAGATTAATTCTGATTCAAGAATTTGCCTAGTGGATGCCTGCAAGGTCACCAGTGAGCCAGTGCAGAGCTGTCCCACCACAGGGAGTTTTGGAGCATTTAAATATTTGATAAACAATCAACTAAGGAGAAGGAATATTAGCCCTGGCTGGCGTAGCTCAGTGGATTGAGCGCAGGCTGGGAACCAAAGTGTCCCAGGTTCGATTCCCAGCCAGGGTACACGCCTAGGTTGCAGGCCATAATCCCCAGCAACCGCACATTGATGTTTCTCTCTCTCTCTGTCTATCTCCCTTCCTTCCCTCTCTAAAAAATAAATAAATAAATAAAATCTTTAAAAAAAAAGATTAAAAAAAAAGCAACCTCCATTGCTAAGAATTAAAAAAAAAAAAAGAAAAGGAATATTAGCATCTGTTTATGTTTGGAGTTCTGTCTTTCTAATAATGCAACCAACTGAAAAGGTTTTAGTCTTTTATTTAAGTCCCTGTCCAAAGCAATAGATTTGTCCATATTGAAAAAAGTACAACCAGAAAGAATCTTTTTTTTTTCAGTTTGAATTATCAAAGTATAAACACAGCTTGGGGACTGCCTCACAACTTCCATTGTAATGTGAACCTCCCACGATCCCTCCCCGCTTTGGTGTCCAAATGGTATTTTTTTCAAATGTGTACATCATACTAGGAACTGTGCTATATGAGCAAAATACATATCTGAAGGGACTGTCCTGTTTATTACAGAATAGGACAGTGGGCCCAGGCCCAGGACTAGCAGGAGCCAGCCTAGATTCACAACTTAGCTTCACCGGGGAATCTCCAAGCCCAGCACAAGTAGCAGCCAGCTCAGATTGCTTTCTAGTTCAGATAGGGTGGCCCTGGGAAAAACACAGGTAAGGGCTGACCTTGGCCTGTACCACCTAGAAACCCCAGGGCCAGTGGACCCAGTGAACAGCTACAGACCACCCTAGAACACCAGCATCCTACACCTACAAAGCTGATCCTTCATGGAGGAAGGAGGTTGGTGGTCAATGGTCACAGACAATCTTTGCAGTGGACTGGCCTGGGTAAATCCTTCCCATTGATATGCCAACAGCAACTGAGGCTCAAATACAAGAGGAGGGTGTACTCAGCCCACACAAAGAATGCACCCCAAGTACCCAGCTTGGGTGATAGGGGAGGATGTGCACTGGGCCCTATAGGACATGTACTACATTAGGGCACACCACCAAGACACGGAGTCAAAGCAGCTGTACCCCATACATAAAAACAAACACAGGGAGGCTTCCAAAATGAAGACACAAAGAAACATAGTCCAAATGAAAGAACAGATCACAACTCCAGAAAAAGACCTAAATGAAATGAAGATAGCAACCTATCAGATGCAGAGTTCAAAATAGTGGTTACAAGAATGCTCAAGGAACTTAGTGAGGACCTCATCAGCATAATGAAGGTATTTTTACCTTCAGAAATGAAGGACATACTAATTGAAATAAAGAACAATTTGCAGGGAAACAACAGTAGAGTGAATAAAACCAAGAATCAAATCAATGATATGGAAAGTAAAAAAGCAAACAACCAAACAGAACAAGAAGAAAAAAAAAATCCAAAAAGTGAGTACAGCCCTGGATGGTGTGGCTCAGTGGATTGAGCACTGGACTATGAACCAAAGGGTCACTGGTTGGATTCCTAGTGAAGGCACATGCCTGGGTTGCAGGCCAGGTCCCCGGTGGGGGGCACTCGAGAGGCAACCACCCATTGATGTTTCTCTCCCACTCTTTCTCCCTCCCTTCCCCTCTCTCTAAAAATAAATGAGTAAAATATTTTTTTAAAATGAGAATAGTATAAGCAGCTTCTGGGACAAGTTGAAGAGGTCCAAAATGAAAAAAACAAAACAAAACAGGTCTAACATTTGCATCATAGGGATGCCAGAAGGAGAAGAGAAAGAGCAAGAAATTGGAAATCTATTTTAAAAAATAACAAAAGAAAACTCCCCTTATTTGGTGAAGGAAATTGACATGCAAGTCCAGGAAGCACAGAGAGTCTCAAACAAGATGGATGCAAAGAAGCCCACTCTAAGACACATGATGATTAAAATGCCAAAGGTTAAGGATAAAGAGAGAATCTTAAAAGCAGCAAGAGAAAAGCAGAGAGTTACCTATAAATGAGTTCCCCTAAGACTTTCAGCTGATTTCTCTACAGAAACTCTGCAGGCAAGAAGGGACTGGCAAGAAATATTCAAATTCATGAAAAGCAGGGACCTATAGCCAAGATTGTTATACCCAGCATAGATACCATTTACAATCAAAGGGCAGATAAAGAGCTTCCCAGACAAGAAAAAATGAAAAGAGTTCATCATCACTAAACCATTATTATATGAAATGTTAAAGGGACTTATTTAAGAAAAAGAAGATCAAAACTATGAACTATAAAATGGGAATGAATACAAATCTATCAACAATTGAATCTAAAAAGCAAACTAAGCAAATAAGAAGAACAGAGACAGAATCATGGATATGGACAGCATTTTGATGGTTACCAGATAGGAGAGTGGTGTGAGACAGTGGGCAAAGAGGTGAGGTGATTAAGAAGTAGAAATAGGTAGTTACAGAATAGCTATTGCGAGTACAGCATAGGAAATTGAGTAGACAAAGAATTTATATACATGACCTATAGACATGAACAATGGAGGTGTTATTGCCTGAGGAAGTGAGGGATGCTGGGTGGAGGGGGGCCAAAGGGGGAAAAATCAGGACAACTGTAACAGCATAATCAATAATATATAATTTTAACAAAAATAATAGAACAGTGGGGAATTTCTCAAGATGCTTGTCACTCTATAACAGCTTTTTACAAAACCCCTAAAATGTGCGCAGATGTAATAATGCTCTTTATTTAGGAGAAATACATTGTTAGAAATAAATAAATAATTTAAGCTTTGCAAATATACATGAAATTGGATATTTAAACCTTGTGTCTATACTCACATCCTGTTTGACTACTTTAACTGAACAGATTGCTTTATTATAATCTGGCTGAATTGACTTGTCATTAACTGGTCAATCTAGTCAAAATGTCAAACTAGTAACGAGTGCAAAAACAGGTCCTCTGTCAGAAAAACACTGAGGGCTGCAGCTAATTGCCTGTGTCCTTCATGCAAGGTGACCAAGACAAAAAGATGCCAGGAAATGAGGGGCAGTATTGAACAAGAGAAAAAATTGGTGGCTCATCATCTGAGAAGAAAGGCTTGATGTGAACTTGCATTCCAATGAACTAGATTCTTCTATTGCCAAGTTGATTTTTGGTGCTTGAGCTATTTTTAATAACCAGTGGGTGTTGTATTGGAGCCATTGGCATGCTGTTTAATTTAGCAGATTGGAGAACTCCTAGAAATGTTTAACTTGGAAGAATTTACAAACATTTTGCAAACAATGGTATTTTGAGGCCCACACATCCGTGGTTCATTTAAACAGTGTCTTAACATAGCGCACAGAGTCACTCATTGATCAGGATATTTCTCCTGCTTCCTAATGGGATGACTTTGGTTTGCTTCCCAACACTAGGGGTCCCAGCAATTATGGTGGCAATCATACTCAGTGTGAAGAAAGATCTATATGGAAGTCTGAGCTCCACGTCTTCATTGTAAGTACCAACATCTCTGCTTCTTAGGTGATGATATTCTTGACCAACAGGGTATGGTAGGATGTTCCAGGCCTGGGCTTGGTCTTGATGCTGAATCTTCAGGGAAGGTTCAGCCTCAGCCTTTCTGGCTTAAACACAATCACAGACACACTCACATAATGATTAGGTGCGTGGGCTCTGTACTGCCTTGGGCAACTTAGTTTACTACTTCTTACTTCCATTTCCTGCTCTGGAAAATGGGGATATTAATGTTTGCTCTCAAATTAAAATGACATCATATATATAAACTGCTAAACATGTGCCTTGTTCCACGGGTAAGTGCTATACAACTGACAGCTATTATAATTAGAAAACTTCCAGAACTTGGAAGGACATGGAGGGGCCACTATAAGGAAATATAAAGACATGTTGAAACATTTTCTACCTCTAGACAACAAAACTCTCCCCTGAAGATGACTCCATCTCTTCCCTTTGTAAATTAGCTTTGTTGTCTTATTGTTTTTCTTTTCTTTTCCTCCCCCCTCTCTTTCTTTCTTTCCCCTTTTCTTCCCTTTCTTCTTTCATTTTCTCTCTCTTTTTTTTTCGAGGTATAAATCCATCCCTTTGGATCTCTCATTTATAGCTAAAGAGGCTAGCCATTTACTTTGCTTCATCTCTCTAGAACCTCCTTTTTAAAAATTATTTTATTGTTGTTCAATTACAGTTGTCTGCATTTTCCCCCAGCACTTACCCCCTACCCCAGTCAAACCCACCTCCCTCCCTTGCTTCCACCCTCCTCCTTGGTTTTGTCCATGTGTACTTTATAGTAGTTCCTGAAAACCCTTCTCCCCACTGTCCCCTCCCCTCTGGCTATTGTTAAATTGTTCTTAATTTCAATGACTCTGGTTATATTTTGTTTGCTTTTTTCTTTTGTTAATTATGTTCCAGTTAATGGTGAGATCATATGGTATTTGTCCCTCTCTGCCTGGTTTATTTCACTTAGCATAATGCTCTCCAGTCCCATCCATGCTGTTGCAAAGTGTATAAGCTCTTTCTTTCTCTCTGCTGTGTAGAATTCCATTTTGTAAATATACCATAGTTTTTTGATCCACTCATTTGCTGATGGGCACTCAGGTTGCTTCCAGCACTTGGCTATTATAAATTGTGCTGCTATGAACATTAGGGTGCATAGGTTCTTTTGGGTTGGTTTATTTTTAGAGAGAGGGGAAGGGAGGGAGAAAGAGAGAAAGAGAAACAGTGTGTGGTTGACTCTTGTGCACCCCCTACTGGGGACCAGGCCTACAACCCAGGCATGTGCTCTAGACTGGGAACTGAACCTGTGACCCTTTGGTTTTCAGGCCAGCACTCAATCCATTGAGCCACACCACCCAGGGCTACTTACCCATATCCATATTTTTTTAGCATTGCCTGTCAAGCACTTTTTAACTACAGATTTCCTCTCCCACTGGAATGAAATCAATGGTAGGAAGTCTTGTCCCCCAGGCTTCTCTGTTTTTCATACTGACATGACAGTTTTCAGAAGGTCAAAATACTACTGTCAGCATATGCTTTCTAATTAAAATTTCTTGTTATCTGTTCTTTCTCTCCCTTTTCCCTACTCATCTAATCTTCCATCCTCCCTTCTTGCCTGTTTTGTGACTTAAAGTGCCCCCCATTATCTATCTAATGGTTATTCTTCTTCAAAGATGAAAAGCAAAAGCAAAGTCAGAACAAAACTAACTCCACTAGCCCTGAAAAAAGGCCTTATATATGTGAAATGATTAGTAAGAGGCAGACTGTTCTAAGATCTTTAAAATATATATATATATATATATATATATATATATATATATATATATTTATATTTTGAAGAAATAATGCAGATACAATACATGGTACAAATTCAAATGTATACAAGGGTAGAGGATGGAAAATAGGCTCCACTCCCAGCCCCAGATACCCAGTTTCTCTCTCTTGATGCAACTCTTATTACAAACAATCAAATTTGTGTAGATAGTCTCTTGCACACTTTGTTATCCAAATGGTAGGTATACATTACTTGGTATTGGGTTGGCAAAAAAATTCAATTGTTTTTCCCCCGTAAGATGGCTCTAGTAGCACTTAACTGTCTTTAATTTCATTGAAAACAATTTTGTTAGATTGTATTGTGACAGCTGTCATATCAATGTGCATTCAAAACAAACATCAAAATTGGTGAACTTTTGTGTAGCCATTTTAATATTGAAGATGGAAGAAAATACGCAATGTTCCCAGCATATTGTGCTTTATTATTTGAAGAGAGGTGAAAACATAACTGAAACACAAAAAAAGGTTTTGTGCAATGTGTGGAGAAGGTGCTGTGACTGATCAAATGTGTCGAAAGTGGTTTGCAAAATTTTGTGCTAGAGATTTCTCACTGGACAATGCTCTGTGGTAGACCAGTTGAAGTTGATAGCAATGAAATCAAAACATTAATTGAGAACAATCATGTTTTACCACACTGGAGATAGCTGACATAGTCAAAATAATCAAATAAATAAAGTCATTAGTGAAAATGCAAAATGTGTCTTTTATTTTACAGAAAAAAAACTAAATGGACTTTTTAGCTAATCCAATACTTAACACTATGTCTTGGGGATGATTTTCTATCTAAACATATAGTGCTCAGGGACTTCCAGTCAAGGTGGCAGCATAGGTTACTACAGCATATCTCTTCGTACAACCACATCAAAATTACAGCTAAGATATACAACAAGCATCACACAGAACAGTCAGAAATCAAGTTGAATAGAAGTCTGACTACTATGGAATTGAAGAAACCATAAGCATCCAGACTGGTAGAAGGGGCAGAGACGTGGAATGGGTTGGTCCCACATCCACGTGTGGTGGATAAAAATTCAGGAGGGATTTCTTGGGAGCAAGAAGTCCCAGCCCCACACCAGGACCTCATCCCAGGGTTCCAGTGCCAGGAAGATAAATCCCCACAACTTCAGGCTGCAAAAACCATCAGGGATTCAGTCAGTGAAAGAAACTTTTGGAGTCCCGAGCAGTTCCTCTTAAGAAACTCACACATGGCCTTAATCAGACTCACATCCTCTGAGCTCCAGCAATAGGGTAGGAGTTTGAAAGGCACCAGTGGCATATAGGGAGGCACTGAAGTGTCGGGCATCAAGTTAAGAGCTGGGGGACAGCTTTCTCCAAGACAGAAAGGCAGGCAGACGCCATTGTCCTTTCTGAACCCATCCCTCACCACAGAGGCACAGAGCTGGGAGGATCCATCTGAAACTCCATATCTGAGACTCCATCAACCTGGATAACACTGTTTTCCCTGCCCTGGAGACCCCTGAGGCTCCATCCCACCCAACTCACAGCTGTAAATGTTGGCTTTTCCATATCAGTGGCTGGTTTTGGCTCATGCTTCACAACTTCCTAAATCCTTTCAAACAATCAACAGCTAGCCTCAGTGAGTCCCAGTCACAGTGCCTCTTGATAAGTGGCCCCAGGCATGATACTAGCAGCAGCCAGCCAAGATTCACACTTGGCTTCACCTGGGAATCTCCAAGCCCAGCACAAGTAGCAGCCACCTCAGATTGAGTTATAGCTCAGGCAGAGTGGCCCTGGGAAAAACACAGGTGAGGGTTGATCTTGGCCTGCACCACCTGGGAAAGCCCAGAGCCTGCACACCCAGTGGACAGCTACAGACCACATCAGAGCACCAACAACCACCCTGCCCCAACACAGGTGATTTTTCCACAGAGGGTGGATGTTGGTGGTCTGTAGTCACAGACAGTTATTGAAGCTGACTGGCCTGGGTAAATTCATCCCATTGATCTGCCAACATGAATCAAGGCCCCAATAGGAGAGGAGGGTGTACTCAGCTTACACATAGGGTACACCTTGCATTCCCATATGGCTGAAAGGGGAGGCTGTGCCACTGGACTCTACAGGACACCTACTATGATAGGCCATGCTAACAAGACGGAGTCATAGCAACTCTACCTAATACATAGAAACAAACACAAGGAGGCTTCCAAAATGAAGTGACAAAGAAACATGACCCAAATGAAAGAACAGATCAAAACTCCAGAAAAGGAACTAAACAAAATGGAGATAAGCAATCTATCAAATACAGATTTCAAAACAGGGCTTATAAGGATGCTCAAGGAACTTAGTGGGGACCTCAATAACATAAAAAATATCCAGTAAGAAAGGAAGGATACACTCATTGAAATAAAGAACAACTTACAAGGAAACAACAGTAGAGTGAATAAAGCTGAGAATCAAAGCAATGATATGGAACATAAGGAAACAAAAAACAACCAATCAGAACAAGAAGAAAAAAGAATCCAAAAAACATGAAGATAGTACAAGCAACCTCTGGAACAACTTCAAGAGGTCCAATATTCACATCATAGGGATGCCAGAAGGAGAAGAGAAAGAGCAAGAAATTGGAAATCTATTTTAAAAAATAACAAAAGAAAACTCCCCTTATTTGGTGAAAGAAACTGACATGCAAGTCCAGGAGGCACAGAGAGTCCCAAACAAGATGGATACAAAGAAGCCCACTCTAAAACACATCATAATTAAAATGCCAAAAATTAAGGGTAAAGAGGGAATCTTAAAAGCAGCAAGAGAAAAGCAGTTAGTTATCTATGGGAGAGTTCCCATAAGACTGTCAGCTAATTTCTCTACAGAAACTTTGCAGGCAAGAAGGGACTGGCAAGAAATATTCAAACTCATGAAAAGCAGGGACCTATAGCCAAGATTGTTATACCCAGCAAAGATACCATTTACAATCAAAGGGCAGATAAAGAGCTTCCCAGACAAGAAAAAATGAAAAGAGTTCATCATCACCAAACCATTATTATATAAAATGTCACCCTGGCTGGTGTGTCTTTGTGGATTGAGTGCTGGCTTGCAAATCAAAGGGTCACTGGTTTGATTCCCAGTCAGGGCACATGCCTGGATTGCAGGCCAGGTCCCCAGTCAGGGTTATGTGAGAGGCAACCACACATTGATGTTTCTTTCCCTCACTTTATCTCTCCCTTCCCCTCTCTAAAAAAATAAATTAAAACAATCTTTTTAAAAAGAAGTAAAAATAGGTAGTTACAGAATAGCCATGGGGATGTAAAGTACAGTATAAGAAGTGGAGTAGCCAAAGAACTTATACACATGACCCATGGACATGAACAATGGTGTGGGGATTGCCTGAGGGAGTGGGTGTGCTGGGTGGATGGGAACAGAGAGGGAAAATTGGGACAACTGTAATAGCATAAGCAATAAAATATAATTTAAAAAGAAAAATGCAAAAATATATATAGCTTTGTCATTTAAAAAAGTTTTCTATAGCTTCCTTTAAAGCTTAAGATGATATTCAGGGAAGCTTAAGTATTAAGCTTCTATTAGGGTAATTAAATTCTTCTCCCCTTTTTCCCAAGATACACAAACATGTACAAACTCACACATACATGAAAGTATCCACATCAACATAAGTAATATGATCACAAGAAATTTTCCTGGTTCTGGAAAAGAGGTTTCAGCTAAGTTGACATACAGAGGAATTAATGAAACTTGTCTATATTAATAATTAGAGGTAATACCACCAGTAATAGGAAATGTTATTAGATGAATATCCGTTCTCATAAGTTACCACATATTTCTTTTTAAATAGAAATGGTAGAGCCATTAATCACTCCAGTAGCCAGTGTTGCCTTCTATAGTCCAAACTGGTAGCTGTGCTTAGAGTTTTAAAATATATATATTATTTTAAAGCAATACAACCTGAGCTCTTTTGTTACATTTCCATTAACTCTAATAAGCTTATCATTGATGTAACATTCAGAAAAGCGTCATTACTCTTGTCCTTTTATTGTGACATTTATCATGCAAAGCAAAATTTGTACTGCATATAAAAACTCAGGTATAAGATGAAGGAAGGCCACTTTGGGGGCAATACATAACTTATTTTTATGCTGTTGAGGAAGAGAAGAGCCTTCTAGGGAATTGGACTGAGAGGTTTCTGAATATGTAGGGCAGAAATATCCTCTGGGTTTTCTGATTTTGACACTAGAAAGAAGCTTGAACTGTGTGGCTCAGGAGATTGAGGTTCTTGTCCCAGAGGTTTGTCAACTAGGTGTTCTCAGGTGGAATGAAATTGTCTAGGGAACCTTCAGATTCTCACTGCAAAATGTGAGTTTATGTTTCTGTACCTCACAATGGTCTTGTCTGTTTTGTCTCTTACAGCTGTTGGATTAAAGATGATTCTACCTTTTACATCTCAGTTGTGGCTTATTTTTGCCTCATATTTCTCATGAATTTCTCCATGTTTTGCACTGTTCTTGCTCAACTGAATTCCATGAAATCTCAAGGCCAGAAGACTTGGCGGAACATGATCCTGCATGACCTCAAAGGCACAACAAGCCTGACATTCTTACTTGGCCTCACCTGGGGGGTTATCTTTTTCGCTTGGGGACCTGTGAGGATCTTTTTCTTGTATCTTTTTGCCATTTTTAATACTTTGCAAGGTAACATTTTCTTCTTTGTATTTTGGAAAATAATCTCATCTTTCAGGGATTTAAAGGAGGGAAAAAAAGAAAGATACTCCAAGAGGTCTCTGCTGCCAATGAGTTGGCAGACAGCCATTAAAAATATTACCTAGATGTTAGGACTTCATTAAATAGCCCAATCTCTCTTCCTCAGGGCTGTAAAGAGAAGCTCAGATAGCTCACTGAACTCCAGCTAGTTTTAAGTCTATAACAAACATTGATTGGCACTACTTCTTCTTGCATTGCATCAACAATATTGTGCTTATAACTGTAGAGATATGAACTTGTGTTGACATTTTGAAGTGCACTATCCAGTTGAACATAGCAATTACTGGACAGTAGAAACATTAATCTTTTGACCCCACAGACTATGGCTGCATCAGATATCCTAATACATTGTAAAAAGGAGCCAGGCTAGGAAATTGTAGAGTCACAGGAGAATGAAGGTAAAGGGCAAAGAGCAGTGGTGTCAAGGGAAGAGGCTAAGTTTCTAGTCTTGGTTTTGTTACAAATAAACCTTGAAAAAGTTGCCAGAACTGGTTGAATTAGATGATACTAAACTAATGGCTCTATAGCTCTTTAATGCCCTTCCTATTTTCTGGTGAAAGGAGGAAATAACAATGGAGTAATTAAATGGTAGGTCAAAGATGATGTGAGAAGTAAAAGCTGGGGTTCTGATTAATATATCTCTGAGTAATTGTTGATGTTCATTTTGGACTGATTTTTCCTATTACAAACTCTTGGAAGAGGCATGAAGAGTGATTTCCAGGGAGTCACAAACTCCACCCCATGCTCTTATCCTCAAGTTTGGCCCAGTTGATTTGGGCCACTGCAGCAGGCTGCGAGTCGACTTGGGCAGTTCATTGAGTTAGGGTCTCCTTTAGTGCTTTTAACTATTCATTTGATAAATGCTTTTTACCAGAGTGCAGTCCATTGGTGGTCCCATAGGGTGCTCTAGGAGGAAAATGGTTCTATGGTCAAAGAAGTTTGGGAAATGTGGCAAACTACATGTCCCATTCTTGAAATGGCACAGTATACATTAACATGGTGAAAGTCTTGAGAAATTATGTTGGAAAAAATACCTTTAAAAATTATCTTAACCCAGCATTTTAAAAACTTCAGAACACTTTGTCATTGTGGTTGTTAACCCCTGAGGAATCTTGGGAAATATGAATTGGTGTGCAATTATGGTATGCCAAGTATTTGTCAGGTGCTACATGGAAATGGGGGAACAATCTAGAATAAGGCATATATAGTGATTGAAGAAACTATTTCATTTTGCAGCAGTGAGGTGTATCAAATGAAACTTTTTGTCCCACCAGGTAATGCTAGCCTTATATAGCTATACTCTTATTAGATTGTGAAAAACACAAAATGTGTCGTTCTTCCTTCACATGCCACTTTTATTCCTTGTTATAATAAGGACAAAATGTTTGTGAACTCTCTACCCCACTGTCTCTTGGTTTCCTTTGAGGCTACCAGCACTTGGTTGTATCCTAGATTGTTGACTGAGACACTGGTGATGATTCTATACTTTACCTCTTGATGTAACTACCTGAATTACACTGAGATTACCTTGGTCTTAGTATCATGGTGTTTTAAGAACTAACCAGTCTCAGTGTAGAATGTACAGAGTAGATTAAGAACTAGGTGCCTATGCAGATTTCTTCCTCAGCAATAACTGCAGGCTTCTCTCTAGGTCACTCACTTCGAGGAGAATGTACTTACCATATGGAAAGAGGGGTTAAAGGGAAAGCTGATAAAAGAACCAGAAAGCAAAGCATTTTAAAACTTATAAGGAGATAAGGGTGTTTTCAAAACAGCAAGTACTTCATTCCTATGGTGGAAGGGAATGTAGTATCTAAGCAGGAAGCCTATATGGGTAGAAGCAGAATCCAATTGGAGTTTTCCTGAGAACTAAAACCAAAGTCCCATAGATCCAACATCAACAGAGCTAAGCTGTCTCTGTCTATCAGATACGCTTTATGTCAACTAAGCACCAAGCATTCCTAGTTCCTAGTTCTGCCTACAAGAGAGAACATACCATCATGCAGAAAGGGTGTTTACAGGGCCCGAGTTTTAAACTCAAGACACACACACACAGACACACTCACACACCCCAAATACTCAAAACAAGAATGCAGTGAAGCAAGTGAAGAAATTAGCCATTTAAAAGATGGATGGCAAGTTTGCAATTTTGGGTGAAGGGGGTTTCCCTGTGGTCAGGTGTGAAAAAAAATTATAATCATAATTAGCCATTTCTGAAGGAGGAATACACAAATAAAAATGCAGGTGACAAAAACCTGACATTTTCTCTCATGCTTATGTTCTAATGAGTAAGCAGATCAATCTGTTATTGGAAAGAAAAAGGAAGGCTGTCAGGCAGAGAGGGAGAGCTGGCAGGCAGCTCATTGGAATTCACAGAATAACCTTTAAGTCTGAGAACTAACTAAACTCCATGCAGGAAATCAGAGCAGTAATAGGGGCTTGTTGTCACTGTTGCCCCTTTTCATGCTGGAGCTGGAAGAGTTTTACTTGCTCTGAGACTAGGATTTTATCTCATTGGGTTGCTGTACCACTTTCCAGGTGACTGCTGCTCAGAAAAGGGTGCTGGATTCATCACCACAGTTGTTTGGTTACAAGTGGAGTCAAAGCCTTCAGGGGAGGTGGTGAGACTGTCATTCTGCTCAGCCTCCAGATTTCTGTCTCCCACCTGGAATCAGACAGTCTCAAGGCTGGGACCAGGGAACCAAAAACTTCCTAATCCAACTTGCCATCAAGTGATAGGAAGGCATGTGCCTCTACCTGAAAATTTTAAGTGACAGAGAGCTGACTATTCCACAGAGCAAAACATTTAACTTCTCTCTTTTTTACATTGAAATGTATTTGGCATATAACATTGTATAAATTTGAGGTGTACAACATGTTCATTAAATACATTTATATATTATAACATGATTGCCATTGTAGCTTCTAAACAACTCTGAATCTTATCCAGGTCATCCTTTTCTGATAGTAGTATAGTGGAGTGGTTAAGCCCTTGGTCTTTGCAGCCAGACTGCCTATCTTTAATCTTAATGCTGCCAGCTCAACATCAGCTGAGCTGATGACTGGGTCAAGTTTACTAGACTTCTGGATCTCCAACACCTCTCATCTATAAATATAAAACTAATAGCACAAAGTTTATGGTCTAGTCATTGCTTAGTACATATTAGCTGTGATTTGTTACTACATGGTTGTTTGTAGCTTCCTCCCGTTGTTTCTAGTTCTAACCTGGCAACCACACTGAACAAGCCTAATTTATCCTTTTCATGACAGCCCTTTCAGATGGTAGCTGTGACTATAGCTACCATCTCTCCCCACCCTTTATTTCCCACTCCAAGTTTTCTCTTATCCAATACAACAACTCAGCTCTTTCAGTGTTTCCTCAAGTCCATCCCTATTCTTGTTTCCTCTAAGTATTCTTGAATATTTCAATTTTTCATTATCTTCTTAAAACAAAGTCTCCCAAATAGAGCATGGTACTGGTAGGAGGAAGTACCAAACCAGGGCAGATGGCAGGAAATTCTCACCTGCCTCAGTAAAGATCCTTTACTCCCACTAATGTCCTAGCTGAAGTGAGCTTTGGGGGCATTTACTGTTGACTCATGCTCAGCTTGCAATGAGCTAAGACAACTGTGATCCATCACTAATTGCTGCCTTCAGGATAACTGGCCAATGAGAGAGCAAGCTGAACACTGTTTAGAAAACAAAGGTTTCAAAACTGCACTTGGGCCAAAAGAAATAGTTTGAGACCCAAGAAGGTATTACTAGGGTTGCAGAAGGCTGTGAGAGTTTGTGTATCAAGTGCCTTGGGGTTCAAGTCAACAAATAGCTATTGAGCTGATACATATAGTACTAGAGGAAAAGGGAGTAGTGATATAAAGATGAAAATGAAAGATATTTCATCCCTGAAAGATATTACAGCTAGGTGGAGAAATTGACAATACATGGAGAATAATATGGCCAAATATAGCAAATATAACAAAGTGCTATGGGAATTCAGAAGAGGGAAAGATGAGTTTCAGTTTGAGGTATCTGGAAAGGCTTTGTGAATAAAAAGACTTTTACCATGGACCATAAAAAAAGCCAGGATGTTTACAAGAATTATTTCTGCCCATTCTACCTCCAAACCTTAGGAAATTAAATTGGCTTTCTAGGGCATTGTAATCAGGATCATCTTGAGTCCTACTTTTATCTCCCAAGAAGATATTTCAGAGGGTAGGTATGGGAAATGGCCAATATTGCTGGCAGACATGTTCAGCTCCTCTGTCCCACTTGCAGAGAAAAATCAGGGCTGGCAGTGGAAAAGTAGGGGGCCAAATTTATGATCTCCACTCCCTGTAATTATGTAAATGATGAGTGTATGTATTTGTTATTTATTGCTGTGTAACAAATTACCCTCAAATTTTAGCAGCCTAAAACAATAAACACACAGTTTCTGAGGGCCATGGATTCAGGAGAAGCTTAGCTGGATGATTCTGGCCCAGGGACTCTTACAAAGGTACAGTCAATATGCCAGCCAGGGCTTTAATCATCTCAAGACTTTACTAAGTCTAGCAAATCTGCTTCCAGGAAGGCTCGCTCACATGGCTATAGACTGGAAGCCTCAGTTTCTCACATGTGGGCTTATCCACAAGGCTATTAAGGTGTCCTCAAGACACAACACTTAGTCCTGGCTGGTGTGGCTCAGTGGATTGAGTGCTGGCCTGTGAACCACAGGGTCACCAGTTCGATCCCCAGTCAGGGCACATACCTGGGTTGTGGGCAAGGTCCCCAGTAGCGGGTGTGTGAGGCATCTACACATTGATGTTTCTCTCTCTGTCTTTCTTCCTCCTTTCCCCCTCTCTAAAAATGAATAAATCAAATCTTTAAAAAAAGACACAACACTTGGGTTCCTTCAAAGTGAGTGATGAGAGGGGTGGGGAGAGAGAGGTCTTGTATTACCTAATTTTGGAAGTGATGTACCATTACTTCTACCATGTCCTCTAGAGGAAACTATATGAGGATATGAATGCCAGGATGTTGGGATCATTGAGAGCCATCTTGGGGGCTAGCTATCAATGCAGACCTGATCTCTCAAGCTCTAGGAAGGACATCAGCCCTTGGGTTGACATGAAATCTTGATACAGATCATTTTGCCATCACTGCCTTTGGCAGGGAGGCTAGGAAGATGAGATCAGAAAGCCAATAATGGCCATGAGGTTTTTTAGAAGGTGTGTCTATGGTGAGAAGAGTAGACCTGAATCTAGGCATTGGTGACAGCTAGTAAAAAAAGCTGAAAAAGACTAACCTTCTTCTGTTATAGGATTCCTCATTTTTGTGTTCCACTGTGTGATGAAGGAGTGTGTGCGGGAGCAGTGGCAGGTATACTTCTGTTCTGGGTGGTTGCAATTGGACAACTCTTCAGGTAAGATGCCAGTTTGGGTAAGGTTTTGAAAATTGCAGGTTTTATAAAGCTAATCAGATTAACCTTTCCCCTTACTTGAGCCCATACAGCATCAACATCAAAATGAAGCTGTTTCCATGTCATGGAAATGATTTGTGCTTCTGTGCTGAGACTAATGAAGTCAGGGGAAGGATGTGACTTGGGCCATGTTTTAAGTTAGTGAAGCTTCTCTTTTGGCCCAGGTTCCTTGGATTGCTTGTCCTCGCTGTCACCTGAGTCTTGATTCAATTAAAAGAACATTGATTGAGTGCCTATTGTGTTCTAGGCACTGTGTCACAGGGGCTTTCTGGCCCATAGCCAACAGTGGGTTGAGTGAATGTGGGAACTAAAAGGGGATGGTGTAGGTGGAGAACTTGTCAGCATCCTTAACATGCCTGGCTAGAGGGCTCCATGGATGGACCAGTGTCCCTTCCAGCACAGTGGGAGTTATAGCAGAGTCTGATGAAGCCTCTGAGAATATCTCCAGTCCAGGCAAACTAATTCTATGTTTATCAAAAGCCTCTTCCATCCAATTCAGGCAGCTTCTCTGAATCTTGATGCAAAACTCCTTTAGGTAAGGCAGTGCTTGAACTCAAAGTTTCTATAAGTGATACAGGAATTTTACTCCTTTATGCTGGGCATGTCAGTAAAACCTGCTGGTCCCTGTTCCAGGCTCTAGGGAAAGCAGGCATCCTTGGTAGGAGAACTGGCTCTGCTTATACCACTTCATAGAAAATCTGACTCCTTCCAGAGCAAATACTCTGTACATTGGATTTTATATTTTTTGAACAGGATTATGAGGTATAATTTACCCATATGAAGTATACAGTTTAATGAGTTTTATGTTTTTAACTTTTTTGGTGTCATTTCAGATTGGAGTTGCAGGTATGAGCTAAATGTTGGGTGTAAGCAGAAAAGAGTGAAGAAAACCTTTGAGCACAAATTGTTGACACCATCCCTCAAGTCAACTGCAACTAGTTCCACTTTCAAATCTTTAGGCTCTACACAAGGCACACCTTCAGAAATAAGCTTTCCAAATGGTGAGAGAAACAGCTGTGTTGTCTACAGTTATATTTCAGAGATTCTGAATTAATATGAGGCCACATATGTGGTCTTGGGAAATTCTTCTTTCTGAAACCTAAAAGCACATGTACATACATGAGCTCATTCTTTGCTGAGAAAAAAAATGTGTATAAAAGCACTTAGTATGTACAGATCTGGGGGATTATTAGACTAATGGAGGAGAAAAGAGACTGAAGGTAAAAACAATGGGTAATTAAAAACAACTATATATATTACTAAAACCAGAAGAAACCTTAGGCATTGTCTGGTGCAATCTCCTCATTTTATAGGTGAGCAAGCAACCTTATGCAGAAAAAGCAAAATGCCTTGTGGACAGTCACTCAGCCCATCAGCAGAGAACTGGAGCCAGGGCTTGAGTCTCCTGACTCTCAGGCTAGTGCTCACCACACTCTACCAAGAATACCCTCTGAGCTGTACAATACTCATAGATGCTCACCTTCTTCCATAGGAAGCCAAATTTCTAGGTACAGAAACAGGTGTTGAAGTGAAGATGGGTATTGGGAGGGAAATATAGGGAGATAATTGGCCTAAAGGCCTTAAGTGAAGAGAAAGGTAAAGAGAGGAAGAACTTAAGTATTCAAGTCGATGTGATGACTCTGTGTTCTGTGCTTTCAGCTGGATGATGGTGAAGCGGCCTTTGGTTGCTTTCTTAAAGACCAAAGTAGACCCTACTTCACACACACAGAATTCATTTGGTGGCCTAGCTATAATCATTCTCCCACCTTCTCAGCACTGGCTGTAAAACTGCCTTATCTACTTATATTTTTTATTATGTTGGTTCCATATGAAAGTTCTATTTCCAAGGGCTGCAGCCAATTTGGAATCAGCATGGTGGTTTTTTTTTTAAAGCATCAAACCTGGAGTCAGAAGGCTTTGAATCAAGTCCCAGCTCTGTCACTAATCTTGACCTTGGGGATATTATTTTTCTCTTCAGAGCTGCATTCACTCTATCTTCAATTCATTACTATTTAAGGCAACACTATTTTCCAGTTTAGGCTAATTGGACTAGTGTACAAATGGAGTCTCAGTCTACATTTCTGCATGGAAAATTTGGTGCATATGAAAAAATTTTTTCCTTGGCCACAAGTATCCATCAAACTCTGACCAACTAGCAGATATGTTCTGGTGTTCCTATGGAGGCACTGGGGAGCCACAGCATATAGACAGTAGGGGCTATGGAAGCTCCTTAAATACATAATAATTGGGACTGATTGGGTAAAGTCATTTTTTAAAGAGTAGATTTTTTTAAAATACAGAGTAAAATCATTTTTGCAAAGGGATTGATTAGTATCAGTTCCCCTGCTGTCCCTGTGAGATAGTTTCATTAGCAAATATATGAATAAAATGTACACATTTTGCTTATGAGGAACAGCAGCAAGTTCCACATCCAGGATATTAATGTTGTACCAAGCAATAGATCCAGAGAACTAAGGTGCCTGGATTTGTAAAGTAACTCAGCCAGCCAGTGGGGCAGGTAGTCTAGCCTTTTAGGCCCAGATTCTAAAACTGCAATCTGGATGTTGCCATCAGACCTGTGGCAGCCAGAAGCTCAATTCTATTAGCACAGAGTGAAAACTTGTGTGTTCTGTACCACTAGGCCCTCTCAGGCTGAGAAACAGCTAAGCTTCCAGAGCAAGAATATTAAATTCACAGATGATCTAGATTTGCGTGTTACCATTTTATGTTGTCTCTCCTGAAGGCCTCCTAGGTTTGCCCATGCATATCATCCCCTAGGTTAAGGTTGCTGTGAATGACACAGTTTATTATTTACAATGCAGGAAGAACATATGTACTTGTAATTGTCTAAACAGTGCTGTCAAGATAAATTAATTCACCCTGAATTTATATTAAACTATCTATGGAAAGCACCACACTTTTACTTCCTTCCAAATTCCTTTATTCATTTCTTCATTAGATAAAATATTCTTATGCTTCTGCTATATGCAGAGTCCCCAATGATATGGCTGAAAATGTTCTTTTTGTTTGTTTGTTTGTTAATACAGGTGACTTTGATGAAGATCCCTACTTTTCTCCCTTGAGTTGTGATGGTGTGTCTTATTGTGTGGAAAGAATATTACCTGAGGAAATCAAAATGAATTCCATTCATAAACAAAGATTTCTTCAATAAATTCCAAAAGAGGCATCCACCTCCCCCTACCCCCAGGTTGAGGAAAATGTTGAATTTGTGAAGCCATCTCCTCCAGCTTCATTTTCTAAATATTATTTTGGAAGGGAAAGAATGAGATAGCACTTAGTGAATATTAAACTCAGAATATTTCTCCTATTTATTGCTATAGTTATTTCTTTTTTAGATAAGATTTAAGGTTTTAGTTATATTAGGGGATAAATGTCTACAGCTTTTGAGATTTAGTTTAAAAAATCTAATTGTCCACATACTGTTGAAAGAAAAAAATCAAGATAAGGGTCCTTACTGCCTTGAGAGTCAAACAATTTCAGGTGGCCAAAGTTTCTGGATACCAAGTTGACCTGACACCCACAGAGTAAGCAGATAGGAAGAGCCACAAGGTGATACCTTTAGGGGGAAAAACACACACAAAAAAACCCTCAGTATCCTGTTGGTCTGTCATGACAAATTACCTGCAGTCCCCATTATCGAAGTCATTGTTTTGATTGTAGCCCCTTTTTAAAATGTAAACATGTTTTGTGAAAAGGGTGGCTCATCAATCCACAGATACCCAAGAATTCCCTAGTGGGGATACATTTCTCAGCCAAGACAGCATGTGAGGCAATAGTAAGCAGGGTTCAGAGGAATGTAACAGAATAAGAACTATCTGAAGCTGGAATTTCTCTTTAGGGAGGAAAGGACAACTCAGGGTAAGCAGGACAGTAGGAGACAGAGACAAGAAGAGTCATCCAAAGGCAAAACAATGAGCATTGAAGATGAATTTTGCCTGCTTTACATTAGCATGATGGGTGGCCTTCTTAATCCCATTCCAAATACTGCGGCCAAGGCTTCTCAGCCAGGCAGGCTGCTTGCATTTGGCCTTGGGTAAAAATGAGTAAAGATATGAACATTCTAGAAGGATACACAAACAACTGATATCATGAATTGCCTTTAGGAAGTGTAACAGGGCATATTTATATCTTTCAAATCTTGTACTGAGAGAATATATTACCTCTTCAAACAATAAATAAATGTATATATAAATAAATAAAAGACCATTGGACCCTTCCAATTAGAAAGAAAGATAAACTCTTTGTTTTTAGTACCATACATCTAATCTCCCATTACCATTGTGAGTATGTATGATGTGGTGGGCTGCCAAGACAACAGACATAGGTTCAAATCCCAGCTCTTGACAGAGATGTGACAGATTCCTACATGTGACACTTGGGGAATTAATAATAATAGTATATTCAACCTTGAGCTGAAGTGAGGTTTAAGTGATATGATGTCTACAAGTTTTCTAGCATAGTGAAACAATATTTTAACCCTTATCTCTTTCTATCCCCCACCCACTTACCTCTCACCCCTTTATGGCCTCACCCACCATGTCTGCTCTATGAATGGTACCACGTCGAATCCTTTAAGTAAACTTTAACACTAACTACTACATAGACTGGAGAACTGGTGTCTGTCACTGGTATAAAATTCTTAAACTCTTCTTTTCCCCCCTTTGCCATCCCATGTAATATAAAAAGGTAGGTATGCCCTCAGGCCCCTAGTTTTCTACCTCAGAGTCAATCTCTTTGCTTATGAAATTTTACTCTTAGGAAACTCCACATCCTTTGTTCCCCATAGGGCTTTGTGTACTTTTTTGTTGTAGAGGAAGGTGAGCCAGTCAGTGAGTGAATAAGGATTAACATAAATGATGAACAAAGTGTCTCAAATGTTAGAAAATATCTTTGAACTGAAAATATTGTCAGCTTCATTCAAAAACAGATTTAGGGATAAGACTTGGGTGCAAGTAGCAAATGTACAAATACATACTTCTGCAAATGCTTTGATTTGGGGGATCATTTTTGGCTGTGAAAATGTCCATGATTGTATTTATTTTCAGAGAGTAATAGGATTCTGATTGTTCTGCTGTTGCTGGATTAATGAATGCACAGCCTGTCTATAATGACCTGACATGCTGTCAAGAACAGAAATACTATTTTATAGAAAAGTTCATGATTCTTATCATAACTTCCCCTGCTAATTAGTAAAACATGGGTTTACCATAAATTAGATGGCAGTTTGAAATTACAGGAAAGCACTGATTAAATATCCTTCAAACATCCTTTGGTTTGCTCTCCCTAGGCCCACAAAATAGCTGAAACGTCTGTGAAGACAGATCTAAGTGACTGTGGAAAAAAGATCTTAGAATCTTTGAGCTGCTTTCAATCAACAATCAATTACCAAGCATTCGTTGAGTCCTGACATGAAGAGAGAGATTCGGACATGTCATAATTATGCCATTACCTCCAGCTACTTACTATTTACCTGGGGAGACCAAATATAGACACTGGAGTAGTGAATGATTAAAACAGGAATATGGTAGAAGAGAGGTGTTTCACCAGCAGGAAATGTTGCAGTATTTAGTCAGGGCTCAAAGTATTGTACTCCAGTTTTTCTTGGGGGACAGCTTGGGTAAGGCAGGACTCCATTTGTCAATACCAAGAGCAAATCTTCATTACTAAGTCAACAAATTTACAAAGCCCCTTGGAGCTTTCAGGGTACTGGCTCTGGGTACCCTGAAAATGACTGTGCTTTGGGTACTCTGTGGACAAACTGGAAAACACTGGCTAGTACTGAACTTTCTCTGGAGCAAGTTTGTAGAGGCTCTTGCCCAGGACCCTAATCCTTACTGTTTGTTTTTTTTTCAGAAGTCCCAAAGGTGGCAGTGACAATCTGTGATGGCCTACCTCCCCTATATCTAGGGATATGGAAAGGTTGGGAAATGGAGGGGTTAAAGGAGGTAGGGCTTGCATCTTCAACAGTTCAGTCTTATGGTTAATTGATGTTTCTGGTCCTGACCTTCAGAGACACAAGGAGTTTGGAGTAATGGGGAAAGGACCTAGTTATAAATCTGTTGATTAGGCAAAACAAATGATATGGATTAAATTCATATTTACAATGTCTGGCACCTCATAGACATGTCATAAACATTTGTTGTATGAATGAATGAATGAATGGTGTAAAGTACATGTGTATATGAAAGCAATGACTGACTTTTCCTACTTAGGATTTTTTATCTTAGTGCTCAGTAAACCTATGTTTTCCACTAATATTTAGGCTTCATGAGGGCATGAACCTTGCCTGTCTTGTTGACTAATGTACCGTCAGTGCCTACCACAATGTTTCAGCCAAAGTTCTTTGGCTGCCAACAACAGAAAGCAAATGTCTTTGAACTGATAATATTGTCCATTCTGACTACTCAAAGAAAAGGACATTGGTTGAAAGGGTTTTGACAACTCAAGAAATTTATGGGAAAGTTAAAGAACAGGGCTTGAAAAAAGATAGAGGTTTGCAAATCAGAAACCACAGAGGTAGTCTCCTAGCAGGGAATCTTCTTGTGAGGGTACTACTACTAGGAAGAATAAACTGTAATTTCTTGTAGTCTCATGTTACCAGATTAAGATTCAGCATCTCATGAGATATTTCTGATAGGTTGAGCAGTGAGATAAGGATGTGACAGAAGAAAGCCACATCTTCAGGGACCCCTTTGTTTTTGATAGTTGTAAGACAGAAGCTTAGATTTACCATTCCACCAAGAATACCCATACTGTGGGATAAATCACCTTGCAAAAAGAAATTAAGGTGCTGTTAGGAATGGATGAGTAGGTGAGGAAAACCCACATATGTCCACTACATACAATATAGACTGATGGTATTTTGCTTGAATGAATGGCTAACTCAATAACATACATCTTCAATAAGGGTACAATAATGTTTAAAAGAGGTGGTCTCTCTCCCACACCACATGCCTCACATATGCATTCATTTATTTTTTAAAGGCTTAAGGTATACCAGGATGTTTTGAGTAAGCTTAAGAGCTCAATATAAGAATGATAGAGGAATGTTATTAGAAATGTGATTTTTAGAGATCTTGGGTAGACAGGTTGACCTCATTCTAAGAAAAATCAATATATGAAATGAGTTTGTCTATGGTGTTGTCACATCTCTCCAGGGGAATTGACAACTGATTACATTCTTTCATGAAGATGCTTCAACCTACAACTTTCTAAGAGTTTCCCCAAATATTTGAAAATATATTTTGATCCTCACTTCTAGGACTCTTTAGCTCTGATTAGAAAGATCACATTTGTCTAAAAAGAAAATGAGAAGGAATGCCGCTTGTATTCTTGCTCTCACCATGCTAAAAGCATAATATTCACAAGTGAGTTCCACAGAAAAGGGGAAGACATATGACATTCAAGGCCCTGCATTGGAGGACTCTGGTGTGACTATTTAAAAAATCCAAAAGAGCCCTGACTGGTGTGGCTCAGTAGATTGAGCACCAGCCTGCGAACCAAAGGGTCGACTGTTCGATTCCCAGTCAGGGCACATGCCTGGGTTGTGGGCCAGGTCCCCAGTAGGGGGCGCGCAAGAGGCAAGTACACATTGATGTTTCTCTCTCTCTCTCTCCCTTTCCATCTCTGTAAAAATAAATAAATAAAATCTTTAAAAAAAAGAAAAACTACAGATGTTTCCTTAATATATGCAGTCTTAGGAGAACAATTATGCAAATTAAACAAAGTTGGGACTGGCAAATTCCCAAGTTTCTAAGATTTTCTTATGTTAACCTAGTATTCATCATGGGAACAAGGCTGTAGATTTTTGCTTACACCCCATGCCACTTAGATGTGAGAGGAGGCAAGACTGAAGGATATGCTACATTAATAGGGTGAAGGCACTCAAATCAGGGGATATGCTAAATAGGTGGTAGATAGATAGATGATAGATAGATAGATATTACCTTCAAAATGTTAGCCAGCTCATCCATCATGCTAGTTGTGGGCAGCAATGGAAGTAGAAATTGAAATGAATCTTAGTGAATTTTGATTAAGGTCTAGTTCATGCAAGAAAGATTTTTGGAAAAAAAATCATGAGCCAAAAATTCCCCTAGAAATTGAAAGCTTTAGAGGGAGTTATGGGGGAAGACTAAAGACCTAGTGTAACTG